TAACAAAAAAGAAACAATGTGACTAGGTGTTGAAGTGTCGTTTCAAGTGTGTAATAAAAAAAGTTACTTTCAACATGACAAATGCTGAGATTTGCAATATATCTGTATATATATAATACTAAGTTCATAGCTACTGAACTACAACAATGACTTGAGAACCCATATCTAATTCAAGTTAAGGGGAGTGGGAATCATTGTGAGTGTAATACATTTCTTATAAAGCTGCTTACGGCAATATTTACAATATGTGACTTGTACATTAAACGTTTGCACTGTCGCACAGAGCAGTGGCGCAACTTGGGGTCTCGGGGTTGAATTTCGTATTTGCAGTGATACGTTCTGTAATGACGTTTAACATTGAATCCCTTAGTACCTGCGATGCTGAATTGATATATCAAACAAACCTGCTTTGAAATGCGCAAGAAAGAAAAATATTTTCCGTGGAGACAACGAGAAATCTATATATAATCAATTTTTGTATTATGCATTTAAAAGTCGCGGGACGTTTGCGGGCTGCAAAAAAATAGTTCGCTGGTCGCAGTTTGTCGACCCCTGCTTTATAATCAGGCTTATTGTCGAGTTCAGAGGGCATGTGTAAACTTATAAATTATATTTAGGCCGCGAGCCGAGGCCCTGAAAAACGCCTAGAAAGTGAGTTTCGTAGCGCACATCAGGTAACTACCTGGATATGATTTTAAAATGTTCCTTAAAAGTTTAGTAACAAATATTGCCTTGTTCCCACTTCCAAAAGTTGCACGTTTTACGGAAAATACGCTTTTACTACAAGAAATATGTGCTACGATCTGTCCTATATTCTCTACATTTTCGGCAATGAACAATGACTTCTGCATGACGTAACAATTGAATCGAATCAACTGTTAGCGAGCGGATGAATATTAGTTATTACTGCTCGACCTTGCGTTGAGTTGGGCAGCCTTTCCATAGCCCTGTTTAGTCATTATTAGTTGAGTTATGCAAAGACGTTGTTGAAAAATGTATAAGTACGTTATAACACTTGTAGATCTTTACCATGGGATATGGGCCGTGAGACGAAGCCTTGAAAACGCCCAGAAATTGTGCCCCAGGGTCTGTCCGAATGTGCCCCACAAGTGGGGTACAGTGGGACACTTGACAGACGTTTTTCAAAGCATTTTGGTAGTAAGATGTGTGTCGCAAGAGAATTTCCTAACCCCTCTATGCATTAGTCCCGCAAACTTAGGTGAATATGCAGAATGAACGGCTCAAAATATGCAAAAGAAAAAAAGTGTCCCAACCTTCCCCACTTATTAAATCGAATGCAATATCTAATTCACTTTCTTCTGAATTGTTTTCGAAATCCACTATCTCGAAAATCGACTTTTCCTCTATAAGTGTGCTGTGATTTTTGCAGTCAATACAAAAATCTGTGCAACTTAAGTTGATTTTGGCACACTTGCATAAATTATTTTGACTATTTGTCTTACACTTGCAGTTTGCCAACTCAAGAACTGATTTGAGGGCCACATGCTTCTTCAGTGAATCATTGTTGGGTGAAAGAGTATAATCCTTATGTTTGCCGGTGTTAAATAGACGTGCCCTGGTATCATTTACATTCTTCATATCTTGTTTCTTTCGACAGACTGGCCCATTGTGCCCCAGGGTCTGTCCGAATGTGCCCCACAAGTGGGGTACAGTGGGACACTTGACAGACGTTTTTCAAAGCATTTTGGTAGTAAGATGTGTGTCGCAAGAGAATTTCTTAACCCCTCTATGCATTAGTCCCGCAAACTTAGGTGAATATGCAGAATGAACGGCTCAAAATATGCAAAAGAAAAAAAGTGTCCCAACCTTCCCCACTTTCCCCTACTCATTAAATCAACTGCAATATCTAATTCACTTTCTTCTGAATTGTTTTCGAAATCCACTATCTCGAAAATCGACTTTTCCTCTATAAGTGTGCTGTGATTTTTGCAGTCACTACAAAAATCTGTGCAACTTAAGTTGATTTTGGCACACTTGCATAAATTATTTTGACTATTTTTCTTACACTTGCAGTTTGCCAACTCAAGAACTGATTTGAGGGCCACATGCTTCTTCAGTGAATCATTGTTGGGTGAAAGAGTATAATCCTTATGTTTTCCAGTGTTAAATAGACGTGCCCTGGTATCATTTACATTCTTCATATCCTCTTCATACAGTGAACAAACAAATTCCTCAGCTTTATTTATTAATGCCTCGTTAACCTCAAAAGATCTTCATAGTGGAGAAAAAAATGAATCGAAAACCTCAATGAAGTCTCCAACATGAGTTTGATGGGCAGATGGGCACATCTAAGCTGTTTGCAACTATTATGATTCTCTTATACCATACTTCTTGTTTAATCCATTTTATAGCACTGATAGCAGCAGGGATTAGAGCCTGCGTTAGGTCGGATTAGTGGAACATTGCCGTTTTCTTTTGGAGTACAGTATCTAAAGTGAGGAAGAAAATCATATTTGGAACAGCATGAGTGTAAAGATACCACTAAATACTAACTAATACCTTGAATACATAATGCATTTTATCTGATGTACTCAATGAGCGTATATATGCTCATTGCATGTACTACAGTCAAGCAGTGTTTGCATACCATTACTAGACTATATCTACACTAAATTTCGATATAGGCTATCACAGTCTGAAATGCCCTATGACAGTATGAGTATGGACTATAGACTATATTTTAAAACATCAACTGTCTGTCTACAACTTGATTTCTCACCTCTCAATCGTTTCCAGTGCTACTTTCCTCTCCACTCCGGCATAACTTATCATTGCTTCCCAGGTTCTTGTCGACTCTATGAATTTAGATTTACACCAACCGACATTAGTAAAACTGATTATTTTCTTCTCTTTCACACAACCGTGCATTACAGAAACAGCCATTAATTTCTATTTCCAAATATGCTGTGGCCTATATAGTAGTATAAGTCTGCTGAATAGTCAGGAAGAGTCATTAAATTAATCATAAACATTTCATGCAAGCCAGAAAATATCGTTGTTTGTGAAATATTATTCTAGGTCTAGCCTTCCTTGGAGTTACCGCACCGTACCGATTTAACAACGTCTTATGAGCTAGTGCTCAACTAAAATTGCTATTTATGGTGAGGATATACAAGTTTTTTATATCTTACTTATACTTTTCAACGCCTCCTTAGAATAACTAAACTAATAATAACTGGAAAAAAAAACTATGGAAAGGCTACTCCACGCAAAAGCGAGCAGTAGTAGTACATCTGATATTCATCCGACCACTGGGGATCCACCTACAGCTGACTAATTTGATTGTTATGTCATGCAGAAGTCTGCGTTCATTGGCCCATGATACCGGAAAAGCAGAGAAAATAGGACAGATGGTAACACTTATTTATTGTAGTAAAACCGTCTTTTCTGTAAAACGTGCAACTTTTGGAAGTGGGAACAAGGCAATATTTGTTACTAAATTTCTAAGGAACATTTTAAAATCATTTTCAGGCAGTTACCTTATGTGCGCTACGAAACTGAAAGATAAATGGCCTCGGCTCGCGGCCTAATTGCACTGTGACTGTGATCTAGTCCAATACTGATCACCTCTACAAAACCTGGCTCGGCATAGATAAAAGATAAACTGTATGACAAGAGAGTATCACAGATTCAATCATTAAATAAAATTAGATTTATATCACACCAATAACAATGTAAGAACAACATTTATAGTATAAGCTAATTCTGATAAAATTAGACTACGCTGATATTATGCAATCAAAAGTTGAAAATATAATGCACTATTATTAATAAATAACACATGTTTCACTGTTTATGTTCATACAAACGAACAAATTATATAGAAAGGAGAACAAATTAGGCTAATATTTATTAATAAAGAGAAGCAAATAAAAAGAAATTTGCAGCGCAGTATTAAAAATTGCCAATTTTGATTTTTTTTATTCGGCATTTCGGACAATCCGGTAAAAACACATCTCGGTTAGGATAGGATAGGATTTACATATTTATCCCGGGGGAGAGGAAAGCCGATAGGACGGCTTATCCATATGGCGAACCACGGCCTTTCGTCCGGTTACCATTCCAAGTCGGGTATGGGATTAGTTTTTACTGTATTGTTTGTTTTCGGAAGCATGGACTTGGTGGCGGAGGAAGCCGTAACCGACCAGCGGTTACGTGAACCACCCAACGACGGCGAGGAGTCCAGCAATCCTCTCGCACATAACCATCCCTGCATGGGATTCGAACCTGCGAACCCACGCAAAGTAATTAGGGGTGCGGTGGCGAGCGTATTCCTAACGCTTAGCCCGTTGAGCCACACCGCCGCGCTTCTTCGGTTCAGTTCAGGTCGCTTTGTTTACCAGTTTTGGTTTCCAATGGCCCTTTTGTTTGTCAGTCAGTCGGTGGTCAAAGTGACTATAAACGTTACCAATGCATGTCCTCACTTTGGTTATATTCACTTTTGTTTTGCACGTACCGAAAATAAGAAGTGCAAATATAAAGTGAAGTAAAAAAAAATGTATTTCAGAGAAGGGAGACGCGTTCTGCTTCTTTCAGTTTCATCTTTAGACTAGTCTACTTCCTTTTTTGTTTGTTGTGTTGTGTTCTTTGTACGGTACCATAACATCTGAGCATACGGTCCTGTGTTACCGGTACCGTAATGTTTAATAACTGAAATATCCTAGCAGTTCATAGACTACTTTGAGACAATTAACTGAATATTGTGGAAATTCAGAAATTACATCGTTATCCTGATATCAGTCAGTCAGTACTGTAGTATATCTGTATATACCGGTTATTTAGTAGATATGATTTTGATGTTCCCCATTATTCTGTGTGTTCATTCTTATGTTTTGTGTGTTCATTACGGTATTTGTTTCGTGTATTTTTTTAGGGGAGATCGAAATATACTTATATTTATTATATGCTAACCTCATTCATAATTCTGTAATTCGGAAAACTGGAAAATGGTTAGAAGACCGAAGATTTCCTATTTGTTGAAAAACTTATATCAATTTTTGTATATTTATTGATCAGATGTAAATTAACTTTGCTAGTTTTGTACTATATCAAGAACTTGCATAACTTCCTTGCTTTATCATGGGAAATATCGCTTTACATTTCGGATTTTATTTCATCCTTATAAATTCAGCATTGAGCAGCACGATATTATCCAGTGCAAGGGGAGAGGAATCTTATTACAGTACTATAGTCATTTTTAATATCACAGACCCTAAAACTGGACATTTTGAAAAGTTGGTAAGTGTTGAAATCATATTAGACTTTGTTCTGTTTTTATCACAAATATGAATGGGTAATCTGACTAAGTTGACTTCTGTCCAATGTGTTGCATCCGTTACTTATTATCAAATATTTGTGGTCGTTTTTCCATTTTTGTTTGCTCCCAAATAAATTATTTCAGAGTTTGTTGAATATTATCAAAATTTTTCTATACTACTGATGATTTGCTTCTCAGTATCTAGCTTAATTTAAACAATCCCAGAACTCATGCACATAATAGAAGTCTTAGCATATTTGGTTACAGTCATTTTCCAAGTATAAGCCAAAATTGAAAGCCGAATCTAAGGTCTGATTATTCTAAGAAGATTTTGATCTCTCTATGAGTCGGTACATATTGCTCTTGCTTCCTATAAATCCAAGAGAAATAAAAAAAACTGTTTTTTCTGATTGCATGTATCATTATTCTTAGTTAAAAGATAGGTTTTTTTGCAGGGATCTGCTGATCCACATGATGATATTGGAAAATATGGATCAGCATCACCAAAAAAGAATGTAACAGGAGTAATTGCACTTCCGTTAAATCAATCTGGTCATATCTATGGATGCACTGAAGCGTATAATGATGTTAAATTGAAAGTTCCATGGGTTGCATTAGTTGAAAGAGGGGAGTGTACATTTGCAAAAAAGATTGAAAAGGTTTGTATGCTTGCTTGTAGGATTTACAGTATATGTACAGATCAGTAATTAATATCTGGCATGCCTGTGCCTTTTAATGTTTTTTTTTATGGGTTTAGATATAAGATCAATTATCATTTTATCATCATTCAATTCTACTGCATCTGAAATAACAAACATTGTAGGTAATCAACTATGCTGGATTACCTTGTCAAATGAATAATAAGTTGCCGAATATATTCTAATAACTTATCACCTAACTAGCTTAACTTGTCAACAGCTTTGATCAATTTTCAATAGATTTAGAATGCTGCTAAAGTTTATATTATGTAACTCCAAACTGTTTTGATAATATTTCAGCTATTTCTATTTTTCGATAATTTATATTACACTTGAAAAATTTATTCTTTTCATATTCTGATATTCTCTTGAGTATTGAAATCACTCTTGATATGCCATGTTCATATGATATATGTTTTTGAAATTATATGAATGTATTATATTATATGTACCAATTGAAAATTCTACAGGCTTTCAATGCTAATGCATCAGGAATAATCGTGTTTGACACAAAGAACGATGTTATTGTAATGAGCCATGAAGGTGAATAATATTCTTTCAGACACTAAAAATATTATGTTATACTTATTATTGTCATGAATGTATCTGTTGAATTAGTCTGGACAAACCTTGTCACTTCTGTGACTATTAGAAAGAATGCTCTTTGGCTGAAAATGATCATTGTTGTGACAAGTACAACTTTTATATAGGAAAATTCTCAATGTCTTGAGACATATTAGTAATTTTGCTACAAGATATACAATAAGATTAACTAGCCTAATAAATTAACGACATTCTGTCAACACCGGTGTCATACCAGTCTAACAGTTACTTTATAACTAAAGTTCTATGTTTTTCGAAGACGTAATTTGGCACCCACTACCAGTTAAATATCTTGTCTTAAGACTATATATTTGTATCCATTGTTCTGTCAGTTCTGACAGTGTATTCACAATCTATATGCCTATATCATTTTAATTAAGGTGCTGACCAAATTGTATCAGTTACCATATCACGAGATGTGGGAAGAGAAGTTGCTAGAAGAGTTAATAATGGACAGAAAGTAACTGTCAATGTCATTCCTGGACAGCGATATGACAATGGGTAACTCGTTTTTTATGTCATGTTGATTGTAACTTTTCTCAGAGACTAGCCTCTTTTACTTCTGAGGAATTGCATGTATTCTTACTTGCAAATTCTCTAACAAATTACTTGGGCTATCTAGATTTGATGTATACATTTCATTAGCTTAATGAGGTAATTGGCTATTCTCAACTAAGTTTTTTTTTTACCAAGATGCCAAACAACCGATTAATCAGATGACCACCGCCCACTCATTCGACAGCAATTAAGATACCAATATTGGTGAAAAAAGCTTCAAAAATGACATCATTCGACATTGGTGCTCATCCCATATTTTCATCCCATAGTTAAATATCTGTATCTCAAACAATTAATTTGTTAATAACCATTTTCATATGTGTGGCCTTGACGATGTCTGACACATGATTAGGCTGTCTCTGAATAGTGTAAATTTTGTTGATGTACTTTACTTTGTTATCTTTTTAAGTTTATAAGTAATGGAAAAATAAACAATATTTTTGAATATACCTCATAATGATGTTTGTTTGTTTAACAACTTCTATGCCTCCCAATGATCAATTTTTTGAGACCAAGCTATTAACGATGCTCTAAAAAAGTTTGTGAAATCAAAGAGAATTTGTAAGTCAATCATTGGTTGGAAGTAGTGTATCTATCCTAAGATGCAGGTTTGTAAAAACCCCAAATCTAACTTCTGTCATTCTCATTTTCAGATACCCTCTAAGAAACAAAACATCTATCATCTTTGTATCCTTGTCTTTTCTTATTTTAATGATCATATCATTGACATGGCTCATCGTTTATTATGTACAGAGATTTAGGCTCGTCCAGACTCCTGATATTTTGAAGGTTTGAATTTTAAGCTTTTTTTCATATTTTATCATGTTTTGTATGTTCGAGCAAACAGCTCATCATATCAGTGGGACTATCCACTACTGTAAATTGTACATAACTTCCTTATAGTCAAGATCTGAACATGTTTAAAATGATTCAACAAAATTATGATTGAAATCAGGAATGGCCAAAACTAACTATTTCACTGTTCTGTTCTGAAAAAAAATATTCGAAAAAGGAAATCACCAAATCTTTGTACTGCTTGTCTGACATCTCAAAAACCTCAATTTTTTAGTCTGTTCTTAATTTTTCCAAAATTCTAAAACTTCCTATATTGGATATTATTTTATGAATTTCGAATGGATTCGAATTTTCGATTATTTTTGGACATCATTAATTGAAATTTGTTCGTGTTGTTACAAAAATTGACCATTATATTCGTAATTTTGTGATCTTTGTAATCTAATCTTGAGTAATTTTTATTTATTTTATATATTGTAAACTTACCCTGTATAATTATGAGCAATTCATCCAAAGCAAAGTATTTCACATCTTTGCTGTGAGTGAATTACTAAAGATTTATTATGTGTAGTAAGATTGGAATATTTTGGGATGTTTGGACTTGGGATCATTGGAGATCATAGATAAGATAATCATAGATGACAATTTTTCACTCTTCCTTTTCCTCGAACAGGTTTTATGTAAAATATTTCGAATTCTAGTTTGTCAAGGAAATTTTGCTTATTATGGATGTCTGGTATTCATGGTATGGCATGGTTTTTTCAAGCCTGTGAATGAGATGTGTCAAACATTTTTCAGTAAATCTTATAAATAAATGAACCAAAGACATTGTGGTACTTCAGGAAATGACCTGTTCTTGCTGACCAATAAAATCAGGCTGTGACGTCTATAAATGAATAGGTGCACGTTGCAGCCTTTCACGCTTAAAAGTGTTGAATCTAATATGCATAGATTGTCTATGCTACCTAATCCTAATTTAAAATAAAGTTACATTTGTATTTGTATACTAATCAACAGCATGAACTATTTGGGTATTAATGCCATCTGTGATTTGAAAGCGTAAATGCCAGTAAATGATTTTTCTAGGTAAAATGTCGCGCGGTTTTAGTTGGCTATAGTGTTTAAATTGATATTGATTTGTTTCGCCAATTCAATCGATAATCTTTATTTCTTGCCAACTCTGAGGCAAATAGCGTTAAATCTGATTTTAAATTTAAGCCTAATTTTGTATTCTTGCGTTGTTCATTAAATAACATTTATACTACATTTGTGTGAACTTAAATTGTTAATTCCAATGGTAGGCCTAATACTAAACCAAACGCAAAACAACAAATTAAACAAATAGACTCAAAAACAAAGAACAAAAATATACAAATGAACAAACTTTGAACCTTCCAACATCCATCCAGTTAGACAGCATTTTTTGAAATTTATTATAAGAACTTTTGACCATTTTTATGATCTTTCAGTTATATCTTGTTTTGTCTGAAGAAGTTAGACTAAGATCTAATGAAAGCTTACAAATATTCTTTCTATTTCGTGGAAAGAGATTATGCTATTCTTAATTATCTTAATTTGTCAATTGAAAAATTTAACTAGTTAACTACCTTTTTTACAGTACATTTTATCATTAATAGATTGGTATAAGTAGACGGTCATGCTATAAATCGTTTGTCAACTTATATCTTAATTATATTATTGCTTGTATGTCTTTGCTGGTGGTTTTGACTTTCCTATAGGCTACCATTTTTTATTGTGATTATTGAATACATAAAAAGTACCCCTTTTGGAAATATTGTCAAATAGGCCATTTGCGTTCAATGCTCATACTGACGTCGTGTTATAACTATGTTGTTCCACAGTTAGGTATCTCTGGGAATGTATAATCTTCACAGTCGAATGAGTCAATTCAGCTAAAGTTATCTTCTAAGTATATATAAATAGCATTTCATCAAGGATTATATAATGTTAAATCTTTAGTTCAAATTTTTGCAAATGTTTTTGCATCTGTCATAAATGAACGACAATGAATCAAAAAGTATTATTGCGATATTTTTCATATTGAGAAATGTTGTCAGTACTTTTGTCATATGTATTCAACACAAGCTGAATCAACCGTAACTCAAGTTGTATCACATAAGTGTGAGATTTGCTCAAAGTTAGTCATTCGTTTCATCATCATTAAATCTAATAGCCATCTTGTTTAGGTGTGAGTCAAGTTTGTTACCTAATTCAAAATAGACTATTTGAATAATGTTAAAAATGAAGTTTTATCATTCTGGGGATATTTGAAATTTTTTTTGTTTGAAAACATCAACATCAAACATAGTTATGAAAATTAATTTCATATCTTTGCGTATATTATTAAAAAAATTATCCTGATAAAATCTTGTGTTATGTTTCTACATATTCATTTTTCTTTCAGATATTGATTTGTGCAGTTTTCTCCTCACATTTTGATGCATTTTAAATCTATTCAGGGTAGAAAATATTTTACGAGGCTATTTCTGGAAACCTTTTTTTTCTTAGGTTTTAAATTTATCCTATCTCATACAACCTCTTCTAGAATAGATTATTTTTTCATTTGTCACTTGGGATTCATATATGGTGATCTTATCAGTGCTTACAAGTAATATATTAGTTCTATACCAGTCAACCATACCCTGACATAATTAGTTGTCAATTTATATGCAAAACAGTGCTACCGACAATATTTTATTCCAATTAATTAGATACAAATGAACCCCTTTACATTACATATTTTATGATTTTGATGGTAATATTATAAATATGTCGCTATATACATACGCTAGGTTCATTTCAGTTTTGGTCATACGCTCAAAAAATTCCCCTTCTTATTTTCCTGGTTCGTGAGCTGGTTTTTATAACGTTTATTTACTGGACTGTGTGTGCGGTCCATGTAGCTTAACCTATGTAATTTGTTGGTTCTTCAAACAATAGCAATTACTTGATAAAACAGACATTGCACCAGAATTCTGTTTGAATAACCTTCAATGGTATAAATAACAGTAAATTGAATATTGAGACCTAATTTTTTTATTTTGGGGGTTTGCGAATAAATGATGATAGTTGATATTTAAATTAGGAAAAAAATGTTGTTATTATTACCTTGAAGCTGATATGTCTGAACAAATCGAAATTTGAATCGATTCGGAATTGAATTTTATTCCTTATTTTAAATTCCGTAATTTAAAATAAGTTAAATTGAATCATATGTGATGTCGGACAATTGGTGTCTTATAGCAGGGGTGTGCAAAGTGCGGCCCGCGGGCCAAATGCGGCCCGCAATGGAAAATTGTGCGGCCCGCGGAGAAGTGCCAATTTTGAATGGTGCGCGGCCATCTAAACTAGTTTTGAAATTTAGTTGGATCTGGTTTCCTTTGCGTTGCAAATCTTATATCCGAGTTCAATTTATTATCTATGCCAACGACTTACAACGTCCTAACAGCGAGGCGAACAATGCGATTCAAAAAGCTGTCCCTTGCTGAGCAGTAAACAATTTAAGGAAAATGCGGAGAATACGCTAATGAATTGGTAAAAATGAGCAATTGAAGATTAGGCTACTGGAAAGCAGTTTAAAAAAATTTATTATTATATAGATACAAAAGCTAAATGAGTTTTGGTTCTAGCCTATCAATTGATTTGGTCTAAATCTAATCTAGAATAAGATTTGACAGAAAATTATTTGGAAATGAATCTTACCGAAAACACCAAGATAACTTTCCACATTTAAAAAAGTCATGACTTCAAATATGGCACTTTCTGGTAACATATTTATTTTCAAAATGATCCATTTTGTGCCTGCAAGTAATAGAAAGCCTATGTTAAATGACGGTGCTGCCCGCGGTTTCACTCAGTTATTAATATTTGGCCCGCCCGCGAAAAAGGTTGCACACGCCTGTCTTACAGTATCACCAGAAAATAATTTCTGTGTCAAATTAAATGAATGAATTTCTACGTTAAGGAACTGAAAAAAAAAATAGAAAACAATCAAATAATTGTTCATCCTAATTTTATTGCATTTCCAAATTGAAACTCACTGAATATACATTGATTTATTGGTGTTTTTTTGTTGAACAGGACTCATTTTATAATACATTCGATATTTTATATTTTGAATATATTTTGAATAGTAGATCATTTAATTGTAGTCTTGCTATCACTGTGTTGAACACTCGTGATAGATAATGTTTAATTTAATCAGGAAATATTTGAAAATGAAATTGAACCATCTATTTCAAATTGTATTATCAATGAATAGAACAATAACAACACGACTAGAAAATCAATATGGTTACATGAAACAAAAATGGTGATTTTGTCAGAACAGCTGACCAATTCAAATGTAAAACTTGAAAGCCATTATATCGATGATGACTTTATAACTAAATACGTTTAAAAGTTATGTTATATTTACTTTTTTCTATATTTTCTGAAAGCCAAATAAAATATAGGTCCCAATTGTGCTGTATTATGCGGATCATCTGTTGTTCATTTATAATAAGTGCTCTTTTAAGAGTGGATTAGGTTTCAATCAATATTCCCAATTAAAGATATTGGATTTTATGTAGGATATTATTTGATCTTTCAAATTATTATTTTCAATTGATCAGATGTTACTATAAGCTTTCTTCATGTTATGTTGTTACTCATTACCTCTGATTTAATTAGATGGATTTTGACCTTTCTCAAATTACATTATGCCTGGAGGCACACGTTGATATCAAACACTAACTGACAATATCATTACTAGTACTCACTAATTTATGCACAAAGTATAATATTAGTTTAACAGTCTATAAACTGAAAGGTATATATCTATTTTTGAGCTCTGCATGTGAGATTACATTTTTGAAATCAAGTAGAAATTGGCAACCAGAGAGCTAATTTTTTAGGAAAATTGAAATTTGTATTGCGTGTCTTTTCTTTTTTCATCACTGTACTGAGCAACTCGAGTTCACAAATCACACTGGGTATGAGATAATTCCCTATATATACTATACATGGATTGTACTATGTATGGAATATTTTCCCTTTTTTTGGGGTTTGTCAATCCAAATTTGCTGGTTTTGCGAAGATTGCAAAATCATGTGGGATTTTTACTAATTGCTTACAGCAAGCTAGTGCTCGATGAATGCCATATTTTCTCGACCGCAATACCACCTTGTGTCTACATACTTGAACATTACTTACATCAATGTGTAATGATTGTATTTATGCATCATTGCCTAAATCCAAAATAAGTCAATAATACATCTTGAATACCATTACCAAGCTTTTTATTATCATAGCAATATCGACTCAAGAAAACAATCTGCCGAACTGAAAAGTTTCGTCTTTTACTACACTAGCATCGAACATCTCATGCTTATTAGGGACCTTAAAATGTGTCACTCATTGGCATTATACCACTCTCAAGAAAATACCTTTTTGTTATGTTATTGAAATTCTAACTTTCTTTTCAGCAACGACGAAATCAAGCAAGAAAAATTATTAATGAACTGCCAAAGAAGATACTGAAAGAAGGTGATAAAGAACTTTTGAATGACGACATTTGTCCCATTTGTATCGAGAGTTATAAAGTTTGCGATATTTTAAGGATATTACCATGCGAGTGAGTATTCAATTATTAATTTAATATTTTTTAATAAACAAATTAGAGATATTCAGATACTTTCTGTGAAACCCAATTTTTTACAAAGCCAGTATAATAAAAAAGAGTAAACGAATAAATGAACCCTTAAAAATTTGATTTGCCTGAATGTACCAATGTAAGTGCTATAGGTTTATTTATATTCGATGTGTATTTCAATAATTCAGATAACTTTTATGATAATTTGTACATATTTAGAAGATTGATGCAAAAATACAATTGGGTTTTGGAATGTTGTGTGCTGTTATAAACAAATTGAATTGATAAAACAGACATACAATATTTCTACTGAATTGACAATCTTTGAGTCAGCGACATCATCATTGACAACTGTCAGCATACAAAAGTCATATGAATGAACTTATATTGTGCTAAAAATATGCTACATAATTAAGAAAATATAATGACACAAATTAAGGGAATCAATAACAAGAATGCATGCTACACCTTGCCAATAATTATGTCTCATAAATCCCCATTTGTCATCTTTGTTTTCTGAGATTTTGAATTCTGAATTTAATCAATTTTAAGATATGTTATGTAACTAGAGTTCCTTGTTTTGCCTATAACTTAAAAATAGGACTCGAACATAGCAATTAGAGGTAATTTCACGAGAGATCAAATTTTGAGAATTAACTTGGCCAAGAAAAAATTAAGTTTGAAAGCAGAAACCTGATGTGAATTCTAGGAATAATATAGATTCTATTACCTTGAAACTAATTTTGATGTGGTTCTCACTTGCTATGATATTACGTTGCATGTTGATACTCCGCAATGACAAATTGTGCCCTGGGGCACTATAATAAGCAAGCAGAAAACCTAGAAATTATTGAAGTTTATATTGCAAAAAAACGTTGACTAATATTTTTTGAATCTCGATTAAAGCATAAATTGTACAAATTTTATGAGGTAAAATACGATGAAATCTAACCATATCTGATTTTGGAGTTATAAAAATGAATCGAGAATAATGAATATTAGAATTACCGTGCCATACTATAATCTGGTAGAGGTTGTAGCTATCAGCAACTAGTTCTTTGAGATCTTTCTTCAAGTAAAAGAATATTTAAATACTATATTTCTGTTATTAATAAGTTGGTTGGGTATTAAAAATCAGTTCTCCCATGAGTATTGGGCAATGGAGATGAGATGAATTCATTTTGCAAAAACATTATATTGAATGTGAGTTTGGAATGAATTGGATTTCTCTCTGCAAGATATAGCACCATTCCAAGATTTATGAGCATGAATTTATAAACTTTTGACTGGTCATACTTAATACATTTTTGTGGTCATTTATGCACCATAACGTGACATTACACTCCAAAAATAGCCTTTTGATATGAGGTCTTTACACCTTTGCTCTGAAATAGAAGCTACAAGACATTATCAACATAATCATGTGCACTTTGAAACATACAGGAACACCTTTGCAATGAACCTGTCACGTAACTTCCTTCTTAGTAATGGAGTTTGCACCTAAATGATGAATGATGATCGTTATAGCTCTTATTAGAAAAGTCTTTCAACAGTCTTAGCAATTTTTGTTTGAGGATCATTTTTTTTTAAGTTAAAGGTTCATTTCAATAATTTTTAATGCTGCAAACTGCACAATCAGACATATACACAGAAATTTCATGCAAAGTTTTTTCCATCCATACTTGGGAATCAATAAATTTGATTGGATCATGTTAGAATCTAGCCAAAGTCACTGTCATGTACATTTTTATTTCAATTCTCCAAATGTTTGGGAAATCCGGAAACATTATTGAACATTTACATGACCTTAAAAGGACTTCTTATACATATCATATCACTATTGCTGAGTCTATCAAAAGCCAATCCCCTACTGTTTATCGAAACTTGTTTCAAACGATACATTGCTTGTTCAATAGATCTAGGGCTATGGATTCATTTTATTCATTTCTGATACTTTGTATAGGTAAGCTGAATATGAATGTGCATTTGAAAATGCATATTAGTAGGTTTTGATATAACAATCAATACAATGCATTACTGTTAGTAGGTTCTCAATATTGTAATGCATTCTATTGATTGCTGCCTGTATATAGGCTGTAGTTCTATTGATCTCGAACAAGGAAATTGGAAAGTACTTTCGAGAATATAGAGTCATTTAAAGTTAGAGGTTTGTTTTGGAATTTTATTACTAAAAGTACCTGCATGATGAGTCAAGCCTTTACGTTGTTAGTTACTCATGATTTCTGTTTGTATCCAATTGTTTCATTGTTGAAAATTGTCTGAATGATGAATAGAGGGGTGCCTATACTATGTAACTTCTTATTTGGGACTTATAATATGAAAGAGCACTTTCTCATATTATTTTTCACTTCATTGGTGTTTTATTGAAAAGTGTCCAAATGATGCATATCGATTTCTTATTTTCTATGTGTCAGGGATGTGACCGCAAAGTTTTTCCGATGACCCACCAAGTCACAGGGGTCACACCGAAGGGACCACAGATAGTTTTTAGGGGAATACAAGTTTGGAAAATAAAAATTATTGATTTAAATTTGCGACCACAAAAATCTGGAATAGCAATGTAGCAGGAAAGTTATGGCTTATTTAGCCGACCGAAAAATATAATTCTCTCAAAGTGGAATTCCAGACTGTTTTGAAACCATGGAAATATTTTCCATGAACGTTTCATGGTAATTTGTATTTGTTTGTAGGGTGGATTCAAGATTCAGATCTACTAGGATTCGAGTCGAATCCACTATTTTTAGTCTTGGATGTGATCGAGTCTGTCCTTTCATTCTTATCCTGTTCTATTTTATTAACTTACTCATGCGCTATGTATTGTTATATCTTTGAAGCACCGTATAAAACAATATTTTGTCGAAACTATGTATTACAGTAGCTTTTCAAACTCCCTATATTTCAGTAATTTGTCCTTCTTATTTTGTGTACGCGACGCACTGATGTGCCAATAAAACTTATAATGTTTCTGTGAATGAACTAACAACATATATGTGCTAGTGCAATACATTTGTGGTTTTGGTTGGTTTAGAAACGAGTAATTATGCGCTCATGCATGATAAAAGTCGTTTCAGGTCAAATTGTTATAAATATTTATTATAGATAGGGGATCGGCCCTTCGGTTGCACTTTTACTTAAAAAAAAAGATATTCTGTAACTCAAAAGCAGGGAAATTAACAATGAGTGACGTTAAAACCAGCACACGAACTTATAAACCACTAGTAGCTAAATGACATTATATGCGGTGAATGGCATTGATGAGCATGCGGTCGAGAGTACGTCTCTTGTGTTTTTCATTATGATGTTGCATATCTTGTAGATTTTACTTGCAACCTGCAACAGCAAGTTTCTCATTGGTCCAAACATTAATTATCTACTCCCCACAGTCATTTGTTCCAATATGAAATTTTTTTAGTCTAACTGCTTTAATCGCAGGGCTATTATAAAGCGCATCATATCATTTTTTAAAATTCATTTTCAGTCACATCTTGCATCGGAAATGTGTTGATCCCTGGTTAAGAATGAAGGAAACGTGTCCGATGTGCAAGTTGGATGTTTTGAAATGCAGAGGACTGAAGGTATTTATTTGGTTTACAACTAGTTTATGAATTAGTTACTTACTAGAATAGAAGCTAATATTTGTCTTCTGATTAAGATGTCAGACCTCCTTTATCCAGAAAAAATACTTCATTGCTTTCAATGTAATTACAAGCTACAGGCTGAGTTGAAAAAAAGAAGACATATGCTCTTTCATTATTCTACATAATTTAGCCGATTCAACTCTTTGTTTTATCTTATTATTGAATTATTCCTTTTGCAAATATAGAAATTTATCTCAACTAGGAAAATTATGTTAATTACACTCTACAGACACTATCTGTGTTTTAAAGTGTATGTTACCTTTTACTTTATAGATGAGATTATTATTATTCATTTTTCTCTTTTCAGCCTTCTTCTCATGATTCACATCCAATATTTGGTCCAACTTCCAGTGCTCCAGTTGTAGAAGTGTGGGAGGTTTGTAAATAAAATTCATTCTATTTCATTCAATAACATAATTGGCTGTGGCCATATGATTCAGCCATGCACTTTTATTCCTGAATTTGCACCCCACAGGGAGGGTTAAGCAATACAGTGGTGCCTGAACCTTTCATGGAGAAATAACAAAAATAGATCTTTGATTTCATTGACAATTTTTCATTTTGTATAATCTCGTTTATTCAACTATTGAAAATTGAACCGTGATAATGGGTTTGTTGCTTTTGCGATACACTCACATCTGAGTTTATATTGTAACAGATTATCAGCAATAATGTCTTGTATATTCACTAATGGTTTTACATTATTTATTGCATTTCTTTTGAAATATTATTATTCTCAATGGATAAAAATGGCACATATTACAGAATAGTATGTTATGTTTTAGAGTACCTACGACTGAAGTTTAGCATTCACCAGTAAAAAATTTCTAATTTTGATAATTTTAACATTTTGTTTTGCCTGAGCATGACATATAAACTGCAGTGACGCTGCACCATGGCAGTATTCAATTCGACCGCACATTATTATATTATGAATCTCAAAAATATAACATTTTAATTTTCAGCCCGAAAGAGATGAAGCAACCATTGTTTCAACTTCGACCGATTCTCTTGTCCACGGATCCCATGAATCTACCGCACTTGTCGTGGTTGAGTCTTCTCGCTCAATTGAAAGTGAAAACAACAATAATAGATTAGACTCTAATGCACATAACACACATGATCCTGATATTCCAGGACCTTCAACCCAAGCATGAATTTGAATAATAATTTTGTGTTGTTTTTTGTTTAACGCATGTAAATCAGTTATTCTCTAATGCGAGACTGGTATTCATATGCTGTGAAGGGAATTGTTTGTCATTAAAGTCCTTTCACTAATGCCATATCGATTTGTTCTTTTCATATCATGATTGGGTTTTGGACAAAATGTTGACTCAAAAAAGTTAAATGATCGGTTTGTTTTGTGTGATATCTTCAGTAACGTAACTTTCGTTTTATTTTACTCTCTGATTTACAAAAAGCACTTATCTGTTATTCATGCTCTATCCTGTATCAAGTAGCGATTTTGTGTCATTTATTTTTTTACATTTGCTTCTTCGGAGTGAATATTTATCTGCACCAGATTGGTAACCCTAGTAGTGCCAAGGTTTGATGTTTCTCAATCAACCAGTTACTACTCGAATAGAGTAGAATGTCGTTTGGAGTAAAAGGTGTGAAACGCTTCATAAAACTATCTAAATACCCACTCTCAGTTTCAAAGTTTTTAAATTTTGTTTTGATTAATTGACACCATACATATATTGTAACAGAAACTGTTGTTATTATTTAACTCCACTGAAACATAAGTCATCAAATGATGGTTTAATAGGTGGTTTAATAGGTGATCAGATTCTTGAATCATTTTCTGGGCAGTTTGCATGAAATCATTATGGAATCCAATTTTCACAAAGGAATTATTCTACTAGCCTTGAATAATGAAAGCAACTTGCAACTCATAAAATCATGTCAAAAAACCACCATTTACAAGCAACAATTTGCTATTTTCAAGGCCTAGCTTTGTGTTCTAATTTTATCTCATTTTTAAAGTCTTGTTTGAAACACCAGATTTTATACAAAATCCAAATGGAACCACTCTTTCTCGGTTTTCCAGCGAATTTTTATCCTCGTGATAAATCGAATTTTGAGAGCTGAGTATTTCTTTGTATCATATATCAACACAATCTTGTCTAAATTTCAACTTCCTGAGTGTAAGTAAGCTTGTTTTGAATGCTTATTTTGCTTAGACATGCAAACATGATATGCCACATTCATTTGATTTACTTTTAAGCCCAGTACTGACAGTATTGCTCTATTTTTCCGTTTTCTTCTATCTGTGTAAATAGGTTTTCTTTTCTTCTTAACTCTGTAGAATAGAAATATTTTTTTCAATAATATTAGCACATATTATGGGCTCCGACATCATTGAGAAATCTCATATACAGAGATGTAAATCTTGAAATTGTAATATTCCAAAACTGTAAAGCAACATTGCCACTTATGCCATGTTTATTCTTCGTCGAAGTGGTCAGACAGACACAAAGTGTAAAAACTGGATGGAGAACTAGGATATTGCAATAATTTTTATGAAAGGCTCCCTTGTTGCTATCTTCCTGTAAGCAGCACTGAAAATCTATTATGACTGTACTCTCGAAGTTGTGCAACTTTTGGGTACAAGGCTATTACGACTGGTAGATCATGACAAGACTGTTGGTTTATAATATGGGCCCAACAACATAACAACTTCATGTTCTCACAATCCAATTCATTTTTAGAAAATCCAATTCCACATTGCGAAATATTACTTGGTATATAGTCATTGAGATTGCAATTTCCTTGGATTGAACTGACCCATTAGCTTAATCAAGGTTAACTAAAATTCTACTGTGTTGTTTTATATAGATCTCATGTTCCCAGTTAAAATGTATAATTTGGAATTACATCTTGAAGAAAGATATTTCTTGGATGAAACATCATTATTTCAAGTGATTCAACCCTTCTGTCATTCATTTACTGGGCGAAACCTGGCTTGCAAAGCTCCACATGCCCTTTCTGCATTTTATTTAGTGCCGTTTTGTTTGATTTTCTTTCGTTTTTGTCTGGTATTCTATTTTTCTTTTTGAACTGATAATTGTATTAATCACAGTTTTCCCTACGGTTATTACAAATATAGAAAACTTTGTTTTATTTGTACTGGTTTTACATCGGGCACAGGTTTTTTACTTGATTGGCTTGCTGTACACTGGATGATTCTTGCTGTTCATACCGGGGACTGGAATGCCCACGGCTTGTATGATAAACCGCGCGGTTCCATTACATTTGAACCCACGACAATTCCACCTATGGAAATTTTTATTTGTTTTACGGATATTTGAACCCATACTTATCCTAACCCATAAGTTTCAGCACCCGCATATAGATTGAACCCGCGGATATACACATGGGATCAAATGTACGGTCACCGAACTGCGCCGTCTCGGCTGTCACCAGTGGCAGTACAGAGTGAGTATTAAAAAAATAACAACAGCAATGCTCACTTTATGGACATGGAGGGCAAAAACTAAGTGGTACGGCGCCGGTGCGGAGGATTTCTCTACTCTGACTGAATACAAGATTGCGGACGCTGAGTAGCAGCCTCAAGGTGCGCAGTTTTTAACTCGGAATTACTGTTTAATCATTATGCATATATTGTTACATTTTGAGGCAATAAACATACATACATGCATTCTTTTAGGATAGGATAGGATTTACATATTTATCCCGGGGGAGAGGAAAGCCGATAAGACGGCTTAACCATATGGCGAACCACGGCCTCTCGTCCGGTTACCAGTCCATGTCGGGTATGGGATTAGTTTTAGTTATTTGTTTTTCGGAAGCATAGACTTGATGGTGGAGGAAGCCGTAACCGACCAGCAGTTACGTGAACCACCCTACGACGGCGAGGAGTCCAGCAATCCTCTCGCACATAACTACCCCGCATGGGATTCGAACCTGCGAACCCACGCAGGGTAATCAGAGATGCGGTGGCGAGCGTATTCCTAACGCTTAGCACGATGAGCCACACCGCCGCGCCAAAGTTTAAACCAGGGATGCGCAACAAGCGGTCCGTTTGTCACAACCCGGCCCGCCAAGCCATTTAGTGCGGCCCTTGTCAACACTTAGATTTTCCCTTTCAAGCGGGAGATTCTAATTCGACTGTCTATGTTTAAAAAGGCGCACTTTGTCCGGTGCCTTCATCACTGGAAGGGTAAGCAATAGCCGCCTTTCCCACGGCGCCCTAGTTGTCGCTAATTCGTTGTGTTCATAGAAAAATCAATTTTTTTGTGTTTTTGGCTCAGCTAGATGTCTGAAGTTGGATGTATGACCGACCGACAAAACATATTGCACGCCCCTGGTTAGGACTATTTGTACTGGTGTGGTCATGCACACTTCTGGGGGCGAAATAGTGCTGCAACATGATGATACTTTTGGACGCTATTGTAGGTAATATATAATACCATGCGGGTCAGCTAATTTCGCACAATGTTGCACAGTCTGTTGCAAGTTAATAAACTATCGCCAAAAATGTGTACCTGGGCAATAGCCCTGTTCTGTGTATTTGGCGCAGATCTTACAATGGAGAATCAACGACCGCAAAATGTTTGACCTCGTGAACATTTGACTGAGAATGTTCTCCCTGAGTGTTTCGGTATTTACTATTGGATTTGTATCGCGTCATATCAACATAATCAAAGCCCATCCACCGGAATCAAAAAAGTTTATGTATATATAAAAGATTAGATTTAAATGGTTGACGATCTGTTACGGGTGTTTTGCGAGGTTTCGATCCTTTTATGAATCTAGTTGGATGATGGAACAGAGCGCAGAAAAGGCGAGGCCACTGCACCTTTTGGAATGGTGGTCGTTCGTGGAATCTCGATATTAATGTTGGAAGCATGGGAACGGATACAATTAGGCCGCGAGCCGAGGCCCTGAAAAACGCCTAGAAAGTGAGTTTCGTAGCGCACATCAGGTAACTACCTGAAAATGATTTTAAATTGAACTAATCGAAAACGACAAAAGAACCAGATACCCCAATCCATGTTTGTGCATAGACTGCTAAGACCTTCAATATATTCACAGAGCTTGTTTTTTTTAGTAACAATTTTTTGTCACTGTGTTATTTTTACAATGAAATTGAACTACATCATCACCATTTCACGTCAACGAGTGTTTTCTATTCCATATTTTTGTAGGAAAAGCACTGTTGTGATACACATACCTTGGCCATGCATTCCACTCCACCCTATCAAAGTGTATTTATTAATTGGGACCCAACGAGTGTTTATGTTACACAAGTTTGACGCCCGAACGATACCCGTTCGTGTCTTTGTCTTTTTTATTTTGAATATATGTTTGTGTGTTGAATGTGGGTAAACTGGCGCATGTATATTTACATGTATTAAACCGTTATAAAGGTTTTGCCAGTTTCCCCGATTTTCCCAATCTTCTGTGTGTTCATTGCTTGTGTTTTGTGTTTTTTTTTGCGCGAAATTCAAAATATACTTATACTTGTTGCATGTTGCGAAGAATCCGTTGAAGTCAAAATCGTTTATATTAGAAATTCTTCATCTTTTGAATTTCTTGATTTTATTCACATGGATATTCTTCATATAACCCTAATATTGTATGCCTATTTTATGTAAGTGTAAATATATATATATAATATATATAAATTCAATAATGATGCTATTTGTGGCGGTACGTTCTCAATTATCGAATTTCCCTACCGAGCTACGAGCTACGAGTTTATATTTCTTACCAAAAATTGAACCAGAGAAATCAAGCAAACATCTTTTTGGTCCTTCGCAAAGAAGGCGGGATTCACCATTTTGATGATAGTCACTATACACCGCCGTCAAATATGATTAACTCTGTTAACTGACTTTTATTTTCGAGCCTATTATGGAGCTTCAAATTGAAATCGAACATTTCCTGGTTTGGGTTTATTATTTCAACCTCAGCAGAATTCGCGGTGTCATTCTAATAGTATGATCATCCTTGGCTGGATTCATAAAGTAATATGTATGTCGATCTCTTGTCATACAAATACGCCTACTTGATACTCGCAGTGGAATAATACAATTCCTACTAATGTATGCATACGTAGGCTAATTCATTGTGTCCTAGCTCATAAATTAATTAATAAAATATACTAATCAATACAAACGTGTTTGTCGGGCTCCGAGTTGTATGTCTTACTGTCACTTATAAGTCACTGTAAGACTAATTAAATGCCAGTGAATGCTCTTGATATATGGCTGTTGTGTGGCTTCGAAATGACGTGTAAACAGGTAATAGATATATTATTCTAATGGTGCCGTTTCTACATTTTGCATTGCATAACGTCGCGGAAATAGGTGAGGTGTCATCAAGCGCATTTTGTAAAGTATATTGGACGATTAATAATTGCACTTTGCGTTTTGGCGGTATACGATAGCGTTGTGATTATGTATAGGAAAAAGTAAGCAATATGCCTTGCGTTGTAACAGTGAGGGAAATGCGATGCTCATGTATATAAAATACTTAAAATAAATCTCGATATTGCTTTGGTAAGCGATTTCAGCAGTTGCACCTATCCTAACCCCGAATTTGTTATTTAATTCCAATCATCCACGAGCAATTTACCATCATCTTGAATTTAACTAAACAGGTCTAATATTATTAAGTGCTGCTGAGATCGCGAACCTTGTATAATTCTATTGGCGGTTATTTGTTACGTAGACTTTGCGAGCGAAAACAATTTAGTGGCAGTTACCTGTATATTGTCTGCGAATTTGTTCAATCAAGTGAGGCTTGTTAAACATGGCTCGTTAAATACCTACACATATAACCTACTTTCAACTTTTCACCAGGCTAATAACCAAATTGCGTAAGTCATTTTTGGCGATTTTGAGTTTTTTATAAAATAGGTATTTATGTAATGCTGCGCACCTGTCTGCTAACTCAGATTTTATTTTAAGAATTCCAAAACCCATAAAAATGGTGATTTAGTATGACATGCACATATGTGCAATTGTTCCGTCATAATGAATTATCATTGTTATCACATGACTATTGTGACGTCACAAAGGCAAAATAACCTCGGCGAAGTATTTTCGAGTTTTTGCATCTCGGATTCTAGCTTAGCGCGTATTAATTTGAATTTATACTACAGTATAGAAGGGCGTGCACTTGTCATATTCACCTTCCAAGTTCAATTCACTTTGGTTGGCTTTTATATTGGGTACATTTATGTCTTATTCTTTATATTTAATCTTAGTCTTATTTCGGTGGGTGTGCAGAGCGTGTTATATTGGTGAAATATATATTTTTTTAACATAAAAAATAATGTAATTGAATCAGATTAGCTATTTTGGGTATTAGACATTGTAGATAGTAAGAATTACAGTTTTTGAAATGTTTAGTTTTCAGGACTGGTGCACATAGTAAAGTTGCAAAATTGCGTATGTCCCCAAGTCATAGACACATTTCTGCCTAAGTCACAGTGCGCCATTATGACGTCAATTAACTGCGTCATACAAATTAACTTAAATCCGGCTACTTTCAAAAAATTGAATCATGGCAAATTATTGACTCTCAATGGCATAACAATATCATTAGGAAGTTTTTTACGTTTTTCTCAAAACTGCTAAAAATGACAAGGGAACTTGGATATTGTGTATTGAACTGCAGGTCCTTTCTCCTTGTTTACTTTCTACTTCGGATCCGTATGGATCCGTAAAATGACTTACGCAATTCGGTTATTAGCGTGACGTTTTGTTGTTCGACTTGATCAAACACTAAGGATCAATATGTCGAAAATTTGAATTTTTAGTGAAACGTTACAAAGCGATGTTTCACACAAATCGATCTAATTATAGATTCGAGCTATCGACTTTATTATATAGTTCAAGATGATTGAATAACAAGCTTGTATGTTATTGTGTCAGTCATATTCGCACGTCGTTGTGCTCTGCTGCGTTTTGCCTTTGGCTGCTTTGTGGCATGTACTATTCGTAGGTATTTCAGTTGCCAAAAAACTAATGATTTCTTTATAGGCTACTTGGTACATTTAAAAATGAATCCAATGCAGGACTGTTCAATTTTCAGGTTTAAGCAACTTATTTTTCTTTATTAGTTTAAACAAATTTGAAGCAGTAAAGTACTTTTCCGGAGAAGTCTAGCAGAGAGACAAATAAGAAATTGAGTCGCAAGTTGGGTCAACAGGAACTCCGATGGTACATTGTTCGTGTAAACATCTTTGAAAAACATTTGATACAAGAATGCGACACAGGTATAATCAAATTGTCGCGCGGAAGTAGTTATCTTTCCAATATGATGACGTATGCCCCCACTAATGCAATAACAGCAGTTTTTGACAGACGAATTCGTTTCCACTTTCACTAGTTCTTGTTGAGTAGCGGCGTGACTGAAATGCATTTATTTGCCTGACATTCCACAAGAAGTAAGTCGATATCCTGTATTTATATCCCTATGGGAAAAGCTCAAGGCTGTTTATAATGAGTTTAGCTGTCCTCTGCGACATGGAAGATATAGACAAAATTTACCAGAACATACGTGTATTCACACTTCATAAAAAAAACACTTTGCGAACAAATAGAATATTAGCAAATGTCAGAATAGGAATTCAATCAAACTCGCATTGCCACAATAATTGTCCAAAATCGAAGACATTTATGAAATTGTGGGCTTCTGCCGTTCCGCCTATAAACTCGCTCGTTTCGGTCTATGAAAAAGCCGCAACATATTAGGCCCACGGTTGGAATAAATGCGCGACCAAATGATTCCAAGTCCATTAGCTGAATGTTTGCGCTCAATTTTTGTTCGCAATCGTGTTTTTGGCAACCGCTATTGTATTGGATGTTTGCGCAGTTCTGTTGAGCGTTGCAACGTTTGTCACGAGTGCATGAGTAAGCTTGAATACGATCTGATCTGAAATACCAATTCAATCTAAAATTAGAGAGTAATATAGGCAACATTGTTGCAACTCGCAAATTTATTTCTGCTTTGTTCCAAAAGGTTGAACGGAAGATCAGTTCTGAGATTAGCGCAGTCAGGAATAGAAAAGGGTCTATTGTTTTTTTGGCATATAAGCGCGCATTTTCAGCTACCTCGTTTGGTTCATTTGGTAAAAGGATTATTGATAGCAAGCCTGGAAACGTTTGGTTTTCAGTGAATCATTCAAGCACAGAGTAAAATGGTGTTGGACAAGGCATATGAATGTATGTATATGTCCTACAGCAAATGTCGCAAAATTGCATTTTAAAAAAAAATATTGAAAATTTTTGTGGATAGAGGGGGCTGGATACACCTATGTGGGTGTTATCATGTTGACCTAAATTTTTGGGTGGCATATACGTTAGGACGGATATTGTTCAGCTTGTTAATCTCTTCCTGGACCAATCAATTGAACAGGCTTTAACAAAAAGATTATTTTAAGAACATAATGCAAAAACCAAATATTTTTCATAACTGGGACAGGAAAGTATTGGTTGGGTTGGGACAGATGTGGGTTAAGTTAAAGTGGTACACGAAAGAAGTTAGTTATCATAAATAATAATAAAAAAATGGTACATTTCAAAAGTTCAATGTCTAGGTGTGTCTACTTGGCTGCTTTAATTTAAAAGTTTGCTTGCAACATATGTTTGTATAAAAATACTCCTTTCAAGTTCGGTCTATTGACTTCGTTTATATATTTACTTCTTTTCCCGACTCTTATTTTTACTTGTAGTAATAATGTGATTCACGATGAGGTTATTGTACTCTGCTTTTTTATTTCTTTCACTGGAATATGCAATTGGAGAACTCTCCCGCGACAAAATACATCTGTACAAAATAAAAGATGTGGATTTTCTAAACACGAAAGTGGAGCGTGTATGTCTGTTAGCTGAATTTGATGCTATTATTGTTTTAACACATAAGTAAGTAAAGTTCTATTTAGCCGTATGAATTATAATAGACCCAAAATATTATACATTTTTGTGTTTGTCACTGATCAGAAATCCTATTTTACTCATATTTTCACAGTTTAACAACTGAGTGTGAACCATTATGTATCATATTTTCGATGTAAGTTGTCAGAGATGGGACTACTCTCTTGACTCCATATGAGTAGTTATTTTGTATTTCCATGTGTTTGGAACGTATTTCTGCAAACTCGCAAACAAGTCTTCGTTGTTGCTGTTTTCATGAGCGAGATATAAAGTAAAATTAATTTATATATTCAGATTCTCGAATGGATCAAACCAGGAGTACAGTCTTGTTCTTCCACAAGATGCTACGACGGTGGGAAGTTTTTGCAACAACAAATACATTTCTCGACTTCAACTTAATTTTCATGGAAATTCGCTGATATTTGAGTTTGCTCGCAACAAGATTGATATAGAAATACACGAGGCAACTTATTGCAATGAGTAAGCGAGCGACCACGTTAACTCATTTTTATATATTTGGTTTCGTCTAATAATATAATTTTGTTTTTGAAAATATTATCATGGACTGCTTTTTGTCACCCATAAGCTAAGAAAGGAATGTCGTTTCCAAACCAAAATGATTGTAGATTTGTGCTTTGTAATATTATGATAAATCGAAATACGGTCAGTAATGTTGTTAACTATTGTAACCATACTTGCGTTATGAGGGTTAGTAACATTTACGGAACAATATACCTCGTCCGCTAAGGCCACATGTGCTTGAAATAGGATCAATAATGCTTACTCAAACTAACTGGAAGTTAACTACAAAATTGCAGTATTGAATTGAGTTTAGAAAATAAAGCTCAATTGAGAGGCTCAAAGCTGTACTAATACGTCAGCTTATACCATAAAACGTTTCCATTATCCAGGAGTCATGGCCAAATGACCCCGTGGTACACTAATGCTGATTTCCATCGTAATTTTCTTGTAGACGATCATGACTACGAAATTACAAATCATAAGCAACGAAATATTTATTAGTTTTGTCTTTTTCGTTGTCACTAATACAAATGTCTATCTATTAATATTTTTACATTTTAGCTGCAACTATGGTAATTGGTATTTGAATCAAATAATCGGAAACTTCAGTTTCATGGGAGATATAATCCACGGAACGTCAAATGTAGATCAACTGAGGAAAGGTTATCCTGGCCTAACAAACGGAATAGGAATCAAGAGAGCTTTCAAGTGCAATAAAGACGATAATCTTATTACTCTACCCATACATATAGACCAAGTAACTCATGCTTCAAATGGAGAAGTCGGCTATACCGATGAATGGCAAGCGGAAATACGATTCTTTTTAATTCATGTTCAGCCTTTTTTGGTGTATAAAGAACATTTTTCGGATCCATATCTTTGCAGGTAATTATTTTTTTTATATATATTCTATGTTTATTTTTATAGAATTTAATAAGCATCTATTTCTGTCACAGTTCTCTTAAGCTTTTTTTTAAATAAACAGAAGTATTTGACCGGGTGTACATACATTTCATTCAGTAATCTAATATGCACCAAAAATTTTTTCCAAAAACTATCATTCCTATATTTGATGGCTAATATTTCTGCACCGCGACACAAATTACAATTATGTGCATTTACCATTATTATTTGCAATTGCAATCACTGGTACAAACATACAGATTAGTCAGGAGCACCCACGTCGCAATTCGGTATTTTGTTGTAGCATTTCTGTTCGAAGCGTGTTCTATTACCTGAACGACGTTTCAAGCTAGTATCTAATCGAGGACGACTATTTTTCAACTAATGTTCACGGTTAGGCATTCGGTAAATGCAACTCGTTTAAGTCGCTAGTAAAATGCCACTGACAAGATAGAACTACCAAAGTTTATTGATGAATCCGAAACAATACTTTGACAATAACCCTGATGAATATTTAATCGGTCATGTCATTCAATCTTACAATCCATTCTTTTTTTATAGGGACGTTACTGCTAGTCATGTACTGGTTATTCTATTGCCTTTGATATACTTTGCAATATTTATTCTATTCTATCGAGTGAAACAAGCGTATGGATGCCCTCCTAAACGAATGCCTTGGTCGTGGAAAGGAAAAATGAAAACGGGATCTCCGTCAGATACAAAATTTGAAATCGAAGAAAGCGCAAACATTATTTCCGGTGAATTCACTTCTATCCAGGCTCCTTGTTACAGCGACAGCGAGTAATGTTTTTTATCCTCTCAATTTGAATTCCGGAAATAAATAAAATATCGAAATCCATGAAAAGCATAAATATAAACATTTAGTTTGTACGAAATTCCAGTATTTTTCCTTTCCTTTTCTACATATTGTTTCCTATTCTACATTCACTCAATTTTTAATATTTACGCCTTTTATGAACATTCAAAATTATTATTTGCCTGCATCGAACAAATTTAGTCTAATTCTCTCGCATATTGTTGAATGAATTTTGTTTGCTTAATATTAAAAATTCTCAATAAAATACTAATTTACTCTGAAAAACAATAGCAAGCACTTTTAAATTCACCAGATCTATTTTATATCAGATAATTCTGCAGTATTAAAATCAATTTATTCTTTTTTCTTTATTTGTTCAAAATAAACGTTTTTTTTTCATTTTCAGAGGGTATTTGAAATTTAATAAATATAGCAGCTTGATAATATTTTGAAGCTTATTTTGCGTAACTTCTCTCTTAAAATAATTGTTTCGTAAAACACGGGACACGGGATTGATTACTCATGGCTAAAACTCATTTATTTACTGTGTCAGCATAGAAATGATTCAGAGCATTTTAGCAAATTTATTATTATTGTGGATTGCAATATTGCAGTTACTTCCCCCGAGTTCGAATCTAATTTGTTCGCTTTCATCAGAAGAGTACAGTATTCATAAGTTATATTTGAATTCTGGCTGGATATCTATATATGACGGTTACCAAATTTCATTCTTATCGGGTAGATAACTTTGTTTTCGTTGGGAAACGAGCATTTTTCTCTCCGCTTACCTACATTATTTGGGAAGGTATGTTGACGTCGGACCTATCACAGTCAGTGGAAACAGTCGCAATTTCCGATATGCATTGGTCTATAGTGCAGGGGTCGGCATTGCCAGTTTATGAATAATGAGCACCTTCGCGTGCCAAACATTTTTATGTGTATGGTTTGCATAGCCAAATACCTGATTTGAATAGTAAGCGGATGAGAAACAAATTCATTTTATTGGATAACGTGCATGGAAACTAGCTCACGAGAGATTTTGGCATACGGCATTTCTACATCCGACCTGTCTTTGCACGACTTAAGTAATAGGTATTAAGGCCACTCGCGATTAGTTTTGTAGCAAGAAACAATGAAATCGCGATAAATACTAAAGGAGATAAAATTTATTTTGGTACTCCCGTAGTATGTGCACCACGATGACGGACACCGGAACGTAGTATGTGTACCAGGTTAGGGTTAGGCCATAATTTCAGGTACAAATACTACAGGAGTCATTTGGCTAGTCCCCAAACTCGTAATAGAACTGAAATAAGGAAAATTGGAATAAAATTATGCCCTAACCCAAACCTGGTACACATTCTACGTTCCGGTGTCCGCCATCTTGGTGCACATACTACGGAGCGCCTTCATTTCATCGTTTTTGTTAGGGTTACATGTAGCTCACGGTGGAATGATGAAAATCAGCCAGGCGCGCAGTCAGGATTTTCGAAAGGGGGTGTTTCAAAACCGAAAATTTCATTCCCTTATGAAACAGTCGCCGCGATTACGCGCTCGTTAAAAAGGCCGAGTTTTTCAGCGTATACCAAATTTTCTCTCCAGTAAAATATTCATTTCATGACAGCTACGAGAATCCAAAACTTTCTCCTATATTGATATCATTTTTTGTCCAACGTAACTCGCGGTTACGTCTTCTTGCGTCAAAATATAAACAATATTAGTCTGAAATACCACTCAATCTTTTGATGTAAAAATATGAGATAAACATGACTAATTGTATTCAGTTTCGATTGATTGTATAATAACTCCCAGCGAATTTCAATTCTGGGCAAAAATAAAGTAATTAATATCGTTGTCGTGAAATAATTGTTGTGATTCAGGGAGAATAAACACAAACTAAAAGCACGCGGTATTTGAGACTTTTTCAGTTTTCCAAAAATTTGAAAGGAGGGGGGTGATTGACTGCACACGCTTATCTACACCGATTTTGGGTACAGATTTCGGCTTCTCGCCGATTGCATTTAAATATTGCATGTTTTTTCAATGAATTTGTCGATTTGTTATTTTTTGTTCAATTGTAGAATGTTTTCGCACTACGAAAATAAATATTTGAATATGGCTCAAATCGCTTGGCGTGCCATGAAAAATCTTCTCGCGTGCCACAATTGGCACGCGTGCCAGGGGTTGCCGACCCCTGGTCTAGTGAGACAAGGCGACTCATATCAACACAATGATAAAGTATACGACGTACATGAATGTACTATTTCGAGCCAAGGACGAATCCAACTTCCTTTCATAAACAGGGGTAAACGGAATCGATATGAGTCACATTAACATTATATACTCGAAACGTCCATCTTGATTCAAACAAATCAATCTTTTATTTGAAAATTAAAAGTGGGATTTTATCGTTTATTCAGAGAATTTACATAATTATCAACAAGCCGTATTTTTGAGTTGCTGCTGCAACATGATGGCGAATTTATGATTTTCAATATATACAGCTTTAATAGACGTATTTATGTCACGGTTCTTCATTGCTATTTCAAATCTTTCTCTTGCTCAGAATTATATTCGGGTTCCAAGTTTTTGCCGTTTAGTCGTTTCTAGGTTCGAACCATCTAAATTAGCTGATTCAAGTATCTGAGAAGGTGACAAATTCAAGTCGGGTCAATGAATTGAAGCTACCCAATACTGCTTCCTATATTTACATTCAAAGCATTAAAAGTTGCGAGAAACTGTAAAATATTTATATGAAAATATCATCATCAAAATGGGGAACTGGGCTAATGTGTGTGTGTGTGTAGTATGAAAGTATGATGCTCTTACCAAATAAAGTCCTTTGCTATTAATAACAAACTTTTTGTCCCAACCGCCAATTGAGCAAAACGATCCATAAATGCACCGCCTAGTGTTTTTTGTATTCATGTATTCCGCCGAGCGAGTACTAATAACGGGTGGCACAAGCATGGATATCCATACATAGGGCATTTCTCATCATGCGATGGAAATCAAATTTTGAAGTGGCTTCAAATCGATGTTATCTGACTAGAGTTGAATGTAAAGTGCAATGGTTATCATTACAACTATATAATATAGTCTAGTAAAATGAACCGATCATTGTTTGTTATATTTCAGTACATAGCTTGTAGAATTTAACAAAGTTTTCTCGTTTAAATTTTATCAGTGATCTTGAATACATAACAAAATAAGGTTGAATTCGGTAATGATGTTTGGTCGTTTGTTGAAATAAGTTTAATTTCATTCTGTTTTGATTGTGGAAAAGATACACCAGACATGTACAGTCAATAATTCTACGCCAAAAAGCGTCGTGATATGAGTAAAATTTAGTTTTATGAAAATGTAAAACACAAAAATGTTATCTAACGATAAGTTTCAACATTTATAAACGGATAAAAAATGATCAAAAATGACTAAATGCAATAAAGTGGCAGGCAGGTTAAATGGAAGTGAGGAACAGATCAAATTGAATGGCATTTCCTCAAGTTGAATCTAGTTGGTAGAGATCTCAGGAATTGCATATGCTGGTCAGTAATTAAATTATGAATGAATGGCAAAATGGAAACTTTATTCTAACATAGGCGTCAGGTTGAGCTTTGCGATGTGCTATAGTTATATTGAAGAAATAAAGGATTGAAGCGTGTCACACCACCGTTGGTTGGATATAGATAGTGAACTCATTGTACGATCCTCGTATCAAACATCGAGAATTGTATCCGTAACACGTATCTGAATCGTTTCACAATCATTTCGAGAGTTAGGGCAATTGCCAATTTCTGAACACCATCAAACTTTGGGGTTAAACGAGTCTCAGAAAAAACATAAAAAAAATATAAAACAAGGGCGTTTGGGAAACACTTTTACCTCAAACCATTAAAATTTAAAGGTGATTGATTCAATATTCGAAAGTATTTTGTCCCAACAATAAAATGAGAAGGAACGATCAATACGTCAACTTCGAAACCAATGTCTGAATCAATAAGTACAAGATACTTTCTATCTAATGTTTTTTTTTTTAATTTCGATGCTTCCGAGCAAAATTCAGATGTGCGTATTGAGTTGGTGTAAATGTATTTTGGGGCATTTCGATTTGACTTGGATTGTTTCTGAAATATTGTATTTGAATATCCTCGTCCTCGGACTAACTAGAAGCAAAGACCCCTGCAAAGTGCCATGTGAAATGTGCCCCCGTTATCACTGAACTGTGTTTTTTTTTTTGCTCTTAAACCAGCTCATTATCAGAAATGAGTTGTGGAGTGACATTAACCTTCTAGTCTTTGTATTATTGAAGGTCTCATATTTTCAATAAATTTCAATTCAAATAAAGTTTTTTTTCTCGCACAAATCCGAATGAGTAAGAGCAACGACTGTAAGAGCTAGTAAAATGGTGCGACTAAAAAGGTATCTATACCAACAGTTCCAATTTCTAAACTCTATACCTCAACCTATTGAATAATGTTAGGAAAATATATGTATTCCTCTACAAGGCATCATTTTCGATACTTGAAGCACTGGAAGGTCGGATTTAGTACAGAAATTTACGATAGAAATAAATATTTGGCAACCCTTCAACTATAAGGTAAGCGAATCTCGAATCTAATGTAACTGACACGAGTGTTTGTTTGTGGGTAAACGCACAACTTTTCAGGAATTCAGTACATTATGGATATTAAATAGGCATCATAAATCATAGCACTGGGGAACATGCAGTGCAGCAAGAGAGAGAGAGAGAGAGAGAGCTCAACAGTGGCATCAAGCGACATAAATAAAGCATTAATAATGACGTCATAAATATCATTTTACAACGGGTGCGTAAATCTTATTTTAATAAATTCGTCACTGAAAAAATTTTAAAGGCGATTTTCGTCGACTAAGAATGAAAAGTTACATTATTACTTACTTTACTGGCGACTTTGTTTTATCATTTTATTATATACAATCCCAACAAGATCGCCAATTAAAGTTACTAATCGAAGTGTTAAAAACGTAAAACATTAAGAATCAGTTGAAATAACTCTGAAACACAGATCAAATATGAATAACAGACTTGCTCGTCTATATGGAATGAGTCAAAAGTATTTAGTTTCTTCGCGAATGTTGCAATATTAATGTCGTTTTGTTTACTTAAGCCCTATTGACCGCATCGTTTTACGAGTCTACGGACGAAGAGTGATATGAGAATTACAAATATTAGTTCTGAATTCGTGGAACTGACTTATCACGTATAGTGTATGAATGATCAGTTGAGGTATAGCTAAGTACAGTATCACTCAAGTAAATTTAATTTCGCGTTAAAAGGTTCATTACGTAGTTTCAAAAAGCGTTGTTGCGTTTTACGTTATGATTAAATTGAAGTATCCAGCTCAATTTCAACGCAATACAGTGTCGAAGGATAAATAGTGTTTAGTATCATGGTAACTAGCAGAGGTGTTGTTATTATCTTTCACTTTGGTAAATCTATACGTTAGGGTAAAATCAACTTTAAGCATTATACTGGGTCGTTCCTCTTTAATTCGAGTTTACGCGTAAATTTCTGAAAACATATTCAAATGTGACGATTTACCAGTTCCAGTACTGTCGCGATTTAGTATAATACATGTATATGTATATGATTCGATGTGTTTAGATATTAAATTCCACAAAATCACATATAAATATGACGCGTAATTCCATATAGCAAAGAAATGGCAAATATTATATATATACTGAGAAGTTCATAATACAACAGCAATGCGTACAAAAATATTGTTTTCTTCGGTAACTATAATAACCCACCACCATTTACTGCTATTTTACGTTCATCGTGCAGCCCATAAGAATTTAGAAAAATAAATATTGAAATTTACCATGTTTTAGAGTAATTTAGACGTTCTGGTATGAAATTGTGACGTCAATTTTTATTGGCGTCCAAGTTTGTATGAAATTTTACTCAATCAGTTATTACATCGCTCCATGATAATGATTTACTTTGTATGCCTGTATTCATTTTACCGTTCCAATTTTCATAATACAAAGAAATTGTATGGCAAATGATATTTATCCTTGTATGAATCACATATGAATCATACATTGTTCTTTTATTCCGATGATTTGAATATTTACTAGTAAAATATTAATATAAAGCATCTCATTTATATCCAGTGTTTGTTATCCTGTGGGAGGCAAGATCAATATCATTAGTCCAAAAACGAATACACTCCTGTTTGAATAATGGCTATGTTCGAAATTTTTTATAGAAATCAGTAATGAAACAATGAAACGGAAATGTTGCCGTGTTTTGTTATCTCCCATTGCTCACAATTATATTTCAATGTGAATAACATGAATATATAGGGAAGGTAGAATAGCACATAATTGTTAACTATTCAATTTGAAGTTATGGTTTATTGTAATTAGAAATCAGCCAAGAAATAGTTATAAATGTTTAACAGTTTATGAGCTATCACCAAAATTATGCCAACCGCAAGCTTTAAACTGAAGTTAGCATAAAAACTGACAAGAGGGTTCAAACATGGTAGTTGCCGCCGACGACGATTGATGCCATAATTTCCATTTGAGAAACATAGATAACAGGTCGAAGGGGAATCCACGATGCGGAACAAGTCTATAACCTTTTAGACTTACCAAAATATTTTTCAGTTTACTTAAATTTTAAAGTTATATAAAGGCGTATCAGGAGTTGAAATTGAGGATTACGTCGAAAGTATATATAATACATACAGCCCTAATTCTTGGTCTAGAGAGTGAAATAATGTCGAATTGTATTGATATAGTGATTTATACGAAAAATTATTTATGTCATTTTTGTACATTTTCTAAATTCAATTTTTTTTACATCGTATTTGTATGTATATATCAGTGTCGTAAAGTTGTAATCCTCAAATAGTTTATATTGGAATTGCGGCGATCTTGTCACAATGCTATGTTGTTTTTACAACGCAAATTCAAAATTCTTTTGTGTAGGGATACGTATTGGTATATAATCAAAGCATTTCATTTCAAACAGTCAATATACGCAGAATATTAATACATGATTTGCCATATTATTGGCCTCGACAATTACGCTGTTGGTCAGGTTACTTTAGAAATTGAAGTGAATTTTTATGTAGCATTCTGAGATTGTAAAAGGCTACCGATAATGTGCTGAGTACATACTTATAAATATCGAGGCTAAATCAAGTACAGTCGATGTTGGCAAAACGGTGTAATGTGTCAACGTTTCCAATTTCTATATAAAAATAATTTATCGGGTCATGATATGGAAGGAGCGTATATATAGCAATGAGAAATTATCAAGGCGTAAAATCTAACCTAAAAATACAATGGCTGGCATTCAGATAGACACGGGGACTAAACAACGATTTATATACAGGCGGGAACAAAGTCGTTTCTTCATAATTCATCGAATAATTCTCTTTGGTTATGTAGTACTATTTCAGAAATAGTTCTTTTCTGAAATATGTTTCGTTTTTCGATACCCTGCTGTTTCCTCAAGCAACGCTGTGATCTGTTGGAATGGCTTCTTTAAAGTGGGCCTACTTTCCAAACTTTATTTATTCAACATCTTGACGATGTTTCTTGCTTCAAGTCGGCCCTCTCCAAACATGCCGTTCCAAAAGGTCACAGCATTGATGGGAAAAAGAAGGTTTCGGGAAGTTTTTCTCCATAGAAATTCGAATCATCTGCAAATTACATCGTTTTGTTAACACCGGTTATGCTTTATTTATCCTCGACATGAACAGGTTGGTCATCATGTGCTATCGCCAAATATGTTCTACATTCTAACCTTGTGTGCTATAAGCTAAATAATAAAAGCTATATAAGATATAAAGCTATATCTTATCATAGATCCGGCGTTTATGGTTTTTTTTAATTAACATAACAGAGGATTTCACAGCTTGATATGGCCTCAATACGACGAAGAAGAATCGATGAATAGATTGCGATCAAACTTCATTTCGCCATTATTGGTCAGTCAATTGCTCCGCAATCTTATTGATTGGCAGCGCCGGCATGCTCTGTTCGATCAATAGAGAATAGTGAAGTACAAGGTACGAGGTATATGTGTTGGGAGGATAGTATGTCACAAATGTCATAGTTAGCTAGGTAGGTCAAAGGAGTACAGTAAGCGCGATTTATGAAACGGAAGTCAGAATTATTGCATAACACTATTTGTATTGTCATAATTTCATTGTTGCAATTGTTTTGTTAAATGTTGTTTTTGGCACTTCCCACGCTTTTTTTTTTGTTAATTAATCGCGGTACATCCGTTGACCACAATACCAGTATAGTAGAAAATAGAAGAAAATAAAAAATATTCAGTGTGTGAATATGATCACTCCCAGAAGAAAATTTATGATCTTGAATGACCTTTTTATTCATATTGATATGCTTTGCTACCCCATAAACGGCGTGAAACTAAAACGTATTCGATCGATTTGACAAGGGAAATAATGAAATTTGTATGAATTAAATTAAATAAATTAGATAAAAATTAAATGAATTAGTGTATTTAGGACTTTGGATACAAGGGTTCTTATTTGTCAACCTATGCTCTAAAATCGATCATTTTCATAATGCGATGCAGAAAATAGATTCAATTAGGATTATTACGAGTGAGACGCCGGTGCTAATGTCGGTGGACACAAATTGGATAAAATCAGCATTACTAACTGTTCACAGCCGTACAACCATGTTCATGGAATTTGCGTTTGTCTGTGTCGTCATTTGGTAGCAGTAATTATTTAACAGGTCATATAAATTCCTTGGTTTTTCATATAAACGCCACATCGCTGCGTCTTTGAAAATGACTATACGTCGCAGAGATGTGCTGGATTACATCTAAGAAAGTGTGGTGTTATTCGACGTATAGAACAGTGCCAGACATTTCTGTTTCCTTCCTGTCAGTGACCTCAGATAGTCAAATGCATTCATCGTAATGCCATATTGTGGTTAACTGTGTTATAGATATATTACCATACATTATTCTATGCACTGGGAAGAATTAACCAGCGGCGAATTCACGCTTACCGTGAGGTTGCAAGTTCATTACCCCGTAAACTTGTAAACTGTTATATTTTATTGATGTTCTGTCAGTATCGGATGAAGGTAGCGGTTCAAAGTCAAGTAGCCCATATGGCGAACAGGGTTAATCTAATTTGTTAAAGCGTATTGATTGAGCAGGTTTTAGTTATTATTCACTCATATACCAAGAATATTGCCTCAGAATAGCGTTTGATAAAAGTAAGAGAAGGTGGACATAACGTTATCAAGAGGTTGAAACTCCAATATTTCAAAATAGTAATCCGCTCACATACAATACATAGTCTTCAGAACTTCATGAATATCACATAAATTTTTTTTTTTTTTTTCAAGTGCCCACTGTAATCCTTTATTGGACAATTTGATGTCATTTGAGACTAAGACCACGATGCAGTTACGCAATCACAGGAAAGATCTATTCAAACAATATGCCGGAGAAGTGTCGCGTAACAATATTACATACGCTCCATTGGTGGCCACGAACGACAGATTATGACCACAATTTGTGACGCACGGGCCTAAATTAGCCCATTAAATTGCCGTTAGTATACACTGTAATAAAATGCGTCCAGCTGAGTGTTTTTTATTTTCGCAATAATGACATTGAATTGTAATGGAACTAGGTCAGTAATGGAATTCATTAATAATCGACCGTAATTGTAACTATATCCACTAAATTTTTCATTATATGATGTGGTGAGTATAGCTCTCCACTAGCGCGGGACGTAAATTTTATATTAATTATCTGGGTTTTTATTTCGCACCAATTACAGACTTTAGGTCCATCTGCGTACAGGTTTATTTTTTATACATGCTATATTTACTGAGCATAATAAGTTTCACTGATAACTATGTAAGAAATGAAAAGGAAACATGTTTCGGATCAGATAAGATAACATAATCTACTGCATGGATATTTGCCCATTTGGTTCTCTTTTATTCATTTTGCGAACAAAAATTTCTATAGTCTATTCAACAAGACGTGTATTATGTTTCGTACTGCGTTATCATGAATCTATGCTTTATAACAATAATTATAAAGGCAAATATACAAAAATGTATTGATTTAACATTAATGCTGGCTCTAGCTTATTTTTCTGTTTCAAATTTAATTATTTCTATTTTTATTTAAGCATGCTTTCTGGCGAGAATCGATCCGCGGTCAATCTCTCTCGCCTTGTGTCGCGTTTTCTATAATATTTTATAAAGAAAATGAAAAGTATATGTTCGACGTTAAGATTCTTATTATACAGACAGCGACTTTGCATATACGTAGTGTGTGTACACATAACATGATATCATTTGAATTATTAATTCGCCGCCTATAATGGTGGCACCAAGCCCAATACCCGTTAAATTCGATCAATGACTGAGAAAGTTATCACACATCGAACACTTTTCTGGCGTGCGCCATATAACATCCACACGAGATTCTAATACATTATTCAAGTTATAAGAATCACTTTGAAATGCCATACATTTTATATGTATTTTATATGTATCGGGGTTTCAGCAATGTAGTATAAAACAATGCAACATGCTAAGGACAAAAATTTCCCTTACTGTGAGGATTTTTGCAAGCATCGTTTTATTGGGACATTGTGTGCGATCCAACAAAGATATAAATGAAAAAGAAGACACACTACATGTTTACAAAATCGAAGACTATGACTTTGAAAACACCAAAATTAAGAAAATATGTCTGGTAGCACAGTTCAACGCTACATTAGAAATAACAAGAAGGTTTGTTTTGAATTTAATGTATCATAATTTTCAAATATTATGTTGTTTTTGAAACTGCAAATCCATGATAAGCTAAATTCTAAACCGATGATCTCGGGACTATATCAGACTTTTAACTCTGCCTGAGCACAAGGGTTTTAAAACTTTCACCTAGCTGCGTATCTACATCAATACCGAGTAAACACGCGATTCCCCCAAGTATTTTCATGCTTATAGTGAACAATTTGGTTGTTCTGAAAGCGTACTCCATTGAAAGACATTTTCACAAGATATAAAATTGATCCAATCACAATAAAGCATGTGAACGGCATCAAATTATTTAATAATTTAAAAAAAAATTTGGTTTAAATTTTGAAACGTTTATTTATTGAGCTCTTTAATTCTATTTCTCACAAAAACCTGGAATTTGTTCAAAATTTTGTTGGCCATAAAATAAGTAATTCTGTTTGCCAGACTAAAAGTGCAACAGAGACACTATATGCACACTTGTTGTGCGATGTCATCAGATGTGACCTCTTCAAAATATTTTTCAGATCAAAACAAATCATGCTCAAAACCCAAATTATATCCAAAATGTGATCATCGATTTTTATATCAGCTTAATTTTAATATTAATACATTATATGGATGTTCGTTTAAGGTGAAAATAGAGTGCATGTGTGATTTGGAATACAGACTGCATATAGGGAAGTTTGTCAAAACTACTTTCTAAAATGCTCTCAACACGTGCTGTTTGCAAGATATATCTGGTATACTTCAATCCATATTATTGTGATTTTTGAATTTTGATTCTCAATTCCAGGATTGATAAAGAGCAACTGGTATATTATTCAGTACCGATACCTCAATATGGCGACACAACTGGAAGCTTTTGCAACAAAAATTTCAATTCGGAATTTAAGCTGAAGTTTTCTAAAGGCTCAATAGACATGAATTTTTACAGGAAAACAAAACCTATTGCAGATTACACTGAGACGACGTATTGTGACCAGTAAGGCACTGTTATTATCAGTAATCGTTTATTTCTAATTTTAATTTACCAAAGTAAAAAAACACCCTCATATATTTTAATCATAAAATTCTTAACGAATTATACTTCATTCTAAATAATATTTGTGATCAATTTCTAAACGTAAGGTGATAGATACTTCTTGAAGGTTTTATGTGTTTCAATGATTAGTATTGTTACTAAACAGTAAATAGGCATTGGCTTTGAGGCATGGCATGGAAACAAACATTATCGGTATTAGTATAGCCTAGTTAATTCACAATTTTATAGCTGAAAATGGTTTCAGTAATTTAAAATCCGAATCAATTTGTTTTATTTATACTATATTTCAGTTGTGATTATGGAACATGGAATCTCTCCAGGCTGTCAGCTATGGCTGAAGTGGATTCTGGGTATACAATACAGGCTTCACTAGTACCCGAAACATTACGAAACTACGCGAAGGAACTCACGGACGGAATAGACATCAAGAGAGCTTTCAAATGCGAGGAGTCCGATAGGATCACTGTTATCCCCCTAGATGTGATAAACGTCTTTAATTCTTCGAATCACAACCAACACATAGACCCTAAAATGTGGCACGTCAACCTGAAATTTTACTTTATTCAAGTTCAGCCTTTTCTTGTACGATACGGCCATTTCTTCGATCCATATTTGTGCAGGTAGGCCCATTATATTATATCCCCACGCGCTTTTTTTACATTTTCTAATTAAGTACATATACAGCTATTTAATGGATACACCAACTACAACTGTGTTACAAATATCAATAGGTATGTCACCGGTAATTCCAGAATACCAGACTACTTTCAATCCGCCATACTTACCTTCCGACCAAAGTTATCCTCTATGTCTATATGGCGTTTGTCGCCTCCATAGTTATCACTTGCAATAGTTCACGAGGAACCCTCGTGCGGTTCATTGTTTTGCACTTATTACTTGTGCCTCATGACGGATACTCTAAATTCTAAATGAAGTATATCTTATATTTATATGAGGTGTAATCAATATTTGTTCTGCACGAAATACATTCAATGCGAAGTGCTTATGATATATATAATGATGATGAAAAAATCCCCAAAAAACATACGAATTTTCCTATAATGTACATACATAAATCTACAGATACTTTTCATTACAGGAGTATTACCGGTAGCCTGATGCTGATCATCATCCTTCCTCTAATATATTTTTTCGTGTTCATCCTTTTCTATCGAATAAAAGCAGCACATGGCTGCCCACCGTCCTGCTGTTCAAAAAACGACGGGAAAAAGCATCTCAGCTCTGAAAGTGAAATCTGTATGGAAGAAGAAAGTACAAATATTATGTCAAATGATTATAGTACTATTCAATTTGGCCTAACAAGTATGGATTCGTCGGTGGCTTACTGACGAAATTATCAAAGTTGTACATGCAAACTGTGAAGATTCAGAACTGATGATATTCGCCGTAGCTATCAGTATTCTGATATTATATACAGCTCAACGAATCCAAGGGATATTTATTAGGCACCATTACATATGTGTGTAGGCCTACATGTTGAACAAAATGAAAAAGTATATCCGTTTGTCAGTAAGCGACTTTGGCAAGTCTAACGTTTCCGGAATAAAAAGGTATCGAGGCAATAAACCTTTTTCCATACAAATAATAAAGTTTTTTAGTACTGTATTTGTATTTTGGTTATTTGATCACTTTTGAGAAAGTTCAGACTGAATAAAACACAATATTTTTATTTTTACTGTCTCCAAGTTCATGAAATTTATACCGTATAAACTTTTTATCTCAACTTCTTATCTCAATGAAACTTGTTGAAGTGTTTTTGTGTAGAATGATAAAGTTACGTTTTCAATTTGAATTGATGCATAAAAATCATGATTTGTTTCGGAACAAAAAGTTGCGATTAACGTCGAATGTCGAACAGCGGCGTTCGAATTTGGTAACAAGAAAGTTAGTAGTAGCCTTTGTAATAACTGGTAACGGGATTTGAACCAAATCAACATTGTCCGACAAACAGGTATTTGGGATGATTTTTTCAAAATCCCTTAACAGGAGAAAAGAATATTGGATTAGAAATATTGTTGGATGGAATTGTTAACCTGTAAGCTAAATTGAAAGTATGAGAAACAAAAAGCAGGTAATACTAAAAGATCAGTATTCGTTTTAAAGAAGTCGAGTAAATTATATTTTTTTAAACTTACAAATTCCTTAGATCCATTCACACATCTACTACATGAGTTATACATAAACCACTAACTGCAGTTTAGTTACCAATTCCCCTCTTTGTGGAGCTATGGTGTGAGATATTTACTTTATTGAGTAAGTGCGAGCTTCCCCCTACCTAACATCATTTCACGACCAGACAAATATATTATGGTGAAATCCTCATTTGCCCAGCCTTTAAAAGCTTTCTGTTTTTCAAACTAAGTTTAAAGAGCAAGATGTGATAAGCTTTGACAACTGATTACCCCGCTATGGGAACGAGTTCAAGATGCATTTATATTAATTTGAGGTGCGACTAGTGAGTTAAATATTATTCCTCGAGAACCTCATTTCATTCCCCAATGTATTTGTTGCGTTTGTTTCTATTATAGTTGAGTGTATTCCAACGATCAATGGTAATTGCACGATCAACTTTTGTTTGGGTTGCGAATTAGCCTACGTAATTACGTTGCATTGCTGCGACAAAAGGTGCTTAATCCACCTTCTTATAACTGTCATAAACGGATTCAAGAAGATGTCGAGTGTAACAGGTGTGTCCAAATCAGGGAGTGAATGAGTAATTTGTTTTTCGCCCAACACTTTCGGTTGGAGTTAGGTAAACGCAACGTCATTCTCTGTTGTCGTAATTCGATTGCGAGAAGCAGATTTTGTAGAAAATTTGAACCCAATGAATTAAATCCATCGATATTGATGTTTAGAAAAGTGTTTAATATTGGAGCCAATAAAAATCTCTGATCTACCCGCCATAGAAGTATGTGTACACATTCGAAGTTTGCCTAGAAAACCAGGTGTTGATACTAAATTAAGATGCACAGAAGAGATAACGAAATCATTATTGCAGAATGGGTTGCAACTCGGGGTTATAATTTCATTTTGAAACCGTTGCCTACTTCTTAGAAAATATCTTGCATCATTTTGTTATAGACTAAAGATATCTGATCAATCCATTTATCCCCGAGTTACCATGACCAAATTTTCTGATGTGAATACTGGTCATAAAATTTTCGATGTATATGTCGGGTTCAAGAATAATGCAGGTGATACTACGAGGCTTATACTATGAGAAACAAAAACGTCATTGTCATTGAAGGTTTATTTGGACAACTATTCGTGATGTATTAGTTTGTGAGCCCCCTAAGGAGAAGGTAATAAATTGAACATTTCTTCTGAAAATTCCAAGCATCGTGGAAACTTCTCATGTGTTGCAGGTTGCAACATCAAATGAAAAGTTCAACATACACAATAATTTATATGCGCAATCTATCATCTGTCTAAATTTTTGAAAAAGCTTGTGTGATTCATTTGCGAAATCACTTTTGCTATATATAATAAAGCACCTAATGCGTATATATTTAAGAATGCCTCTAAATATATGACAGTTGAATATATCAGTATCCGTATCGGTAACACCGAATCGGGGTTTCACAATACACATGAATGTCAGATCACTACAGAAAAATATCAATGATTCAATTCATAGTATGACAAAAGGATCAATATATACATTTTGTGTCTTTCAAGTAAGGTCATCGTCAACTTTTTTGCGTGTATCGAGAAGTCACTTGCACTTAAAATTTAAAATTTGAATGTTGGACATTACGTACGACAGATAAGGAACACTAATTTGGGCAAAAGTGAGTACGAATGGACTGTTGGTCGAATTAGTTAAAGTCAAAAAGTAATGAGCACAAACTACTAGTCCTGATAATACGCAATTTAAATTTCGTCAATGGTAAATTATTTCCAAGCTATTTATTTTAGCAAAGATGTCAGTATATATTATATGTCAGATTGAGTTGCTTCACAACTACTGTCAATATCACATGGAGTTCCCCAAAGCTCAATCATGAGCCCTCTAATGTTCATGACATGACAACTGGAAATCACATGGGTAAATTGTAATACAGTTATACATTTTCATTTTGCTCATTTCAAATCGCCACTTTTGCTCCACTCAAGTGCGGTCGACCTCGGTGTTTTTGTTTTCTGAGATCTATCGCGCACATGAACTTATGACGTAAAAGTTTTTAATCATTCGCTCCCGCCCATACGCATTTGGATATACCTTTAGCCATATATACAATTGTACCAACGAGACGTATTTTGTTATAAATAACACGATAAACAAATCGGTATTTTTGTTATTTTGTTTACATTCCTCGCTGGAATAGCAATATTTGTGAGGGATGCTGACCTTTTCCCACATATATATATATATATATATATATAGTAACTGGAACACTTTAAATTTCATAGACATGTTGAACATTATTCGCGAAGATTTATTCGATAACATTGATATTTTTATAGTTCTGCTGCTGACTTCAGATTAATAACGCCATCCTTTGTCAACGTAACGTAGAATTATGCATCGAACACACGGAAGAACACATTCAGTGGAAACACTAAAGGTAAAGGCTAATACAAACGCTAATGCGACTCCTACAAACTGGATTTTTGCGTCTCCTCAGCGATATGCACAGAGATTGTATGATTGTCATTCATGGTGCAACTTCTTCCATAATGTATTGATCTCATGTCGCATAGACTTACTTATTGTCGGTCAACATACGTATTAAGGATATTAAGACAGCCATAGAGTGTCTTGATTTCAATAAATCTGCAAGATGACTTTGGTCTTTGCTTATTCTGTAGTTGTATGATGTATGAAAATTTTCCCACAACATTATTTCAAAGCTTTTTTATATTGCCTTGCCTGTCTTTGATAAAGATAAATTCACTTATCAGCTTCTAGCGCTTATTGATGAAGATAATCTTAAGTAAATTGAAATGCTTAAAGCTGAAGTTGCCCGAATGGAGGTCGTGATAGCCTGCATGCTCATGCCAGTTTTCGGATTTATTTCTTCGCCAAATTTAAATTGAAATCGCCCTCGATATTTCTACAAGTATGAGCAAATATATTTTTTTTTTTTTTTTATGAAAGCACAAATGTTTTACAGATATATACTATTGAGACTATTGATGAGCCAATATATATCAAACATTATTATTTAATTTATATTTGTTTTGAATTAATGTACTGATGAGCAAAACTTACTATAATAGACAGTGGTAGTCAATTTACTTCATCAGCAGCAGTTCTTTGCTCAAAAATAACTTGATGCTAACAAACTAACAATTTGATGCTAATTTGCTGCAGGTAAAAGGGATTCCATAATGTGTTATGGGTTTGCGTTGAAATAAATTTATGCAAATAGTTGGAGTTAGTATATGGTTTTATGATACATGGCAATACCGATTGGAAGCAAAACGTTTTTACCCAGAAGGCACCCACTCTTCAGTACGGGAAGCACATCATATATTCGCCCATTCACATTAGCATCCGCTCGTGGGCGCTGAAGAAACACAACAACAAGCTGCTATAATAATTATTTTATAAAATGTACCAATATTAAAGTATAATAACAGTTACATAAGTCAATGATTGCTCTTACTTATCAATGGCAGTCAAGTTGTTATCGTATCGTTGAGAGTTTGCGAGATATTCACAGACATCACGTATTTAAAAATTAATTACATCCTTTTTCAAAATATCGACGAACTGTCGAGTCTAATATTCTACAGATCAGTACCCAGTCATTATTATTAATGTTATTAGTCTTCCCATATTTGCTACGCGGAAGGATCGAGATGTAATTTAGTTTTGTTAATAGTCAGTTAGGTTGAAAATAGCAGATACAGAGGTCAAATTCACTATATCGAAGACGAAAAAATACTTAATACTTAACTTGTGTATGTATACAGCACTTTGTAGATGATTTGGATCTAACAGAACAGTTTAGAATTATTTGTGGATTCATGCCAACAGGTATTAACGATGTTGAATGACATTATTTCTTAAATTTTATGGACATGTCGGCAATAATAAATTACTTGATTTACTGTCACTGGCCGGCTGGTAAATGGACCATTCGTCGGTATGACAGCTTTTATGAGAATAACAGCTTTTCATGCAGGTATATTCATTGAAAATAGTATATACCTTGCGTCAACCACGCAAATTGACTACTAAAATAGCTGAGTATTGAACACACGTACACAATTTATAATAGAAAAAACAAACATGTAAATAAGATCATTTAAGGCCTTGGTTTATAGTGCAAAATACGAAAAAAAAGTAATTAGATCGTCCTGATGACTTAATTTTAAACAAAAGTGCCATCTTAGCGAAATAAACTTAGACTGATTGCCATATGCTGACTTGAGTTTCATTTTGCTACAAGATCCCTAGGATAATGAATTTTTAACCGCAGTTTAACGTAATACTTGCGTTCGTGAGTGTGTAAGTCAAGCCACAAATCAATTGCAGCATTTGGAACCTTGTTTGTGTTGATTAGATGCTACATAGAGAGCAGTGTTCATTTTTATACGAGTAAATAAAGTTTGGATGAAAATAAAAAGGTGGCACTTTAGCATGCGATCTTGGTGATTTTAGTATTATGCTAACCCTAACCCAACTATGACAGGGTTAGGTCTAGGTACTGAATTCTATAAGAAATTTATTATCAGATTAAACGCATACCAAATGGCACCAAAAAAAAGTTTGGTGTAGAAAAAAAATATCGAAATAGGGCTTAGCATTTAGTTCGATAACTTTCTCACAATAGGGCAGGCTTGTATATAAAAAGATGTTAAGGTATTATTTAATCCTTGTTCGGGATATATCGTGTAAAAGTTGTGGACGCTAATGAAATTTGTTCATTAATGTACGTACGTATACAATCGTGCAAATTGAGAATTGGAAAATCAATACAACGAATCTCTTGATCCGACGACGGAGAGTTGTAATATTATTACACAATAATATTTCAAATGTGAAAACTACCTCAGGGAATATATTAGCCAAAAATCGATATCGTTATTTTGAGATATTTCTTACCCTGCTACGAAATTCTCACTGTTATCCAGGATCCATAGAAAAGTTGCGTTTTCAATTTTATCGTTTCTATGTTCACGGAGAGTATCAAAACATAACCAGTAGTTATTTCTAGTGTAAACCGTGACTAAACTCTTGCCTATATGCGTATACAAAGTGTGGGCCGTGCATGCTTTTGTTTCAAAAATCAAATATTCTTTTACTGCAATTTTTGTGTCGAGACGTCCATTTCGCCTATTCCATAGTAAACGAAGATAAGCTAGAAAATACTCGGTAAAATGTACAAATATATTCTAAGTATAGCGGGCAAGTGTTTTCTCAAAACCAAAATTTGTTGTCATCGTTTTTCGTGTACGACATATGGATCAATACATCAGAATCCTCTATGTTTCGTGACGGCGAATGAGTTTACGAGGCCAGTAAGCAAACCGGATCTTGAAAGGGTGTTATTATACGTTGACGTATGAAACCTTTTAAAATCGCGGTTGATGGAGTTTTAAGTATAGACCAATAGCATGTTTGCTACTAGGATATGATTAGTGGGAAGTTATTGAATAATCTTTGCACTACGCAACAGTTGCTCGTAGACAGCAGGAATCCCATGAATGTGACTTTAGTACCATTTTGTGTTAGTGATGTTCATCTTAACTCTTTTGTTGTGTTTCATTCAGGTATAATAAAAAAGAAATTGTTTGTTTTCCAATAAAGATTCTTATAGCAAAATAAATTAACGATAACAAAGAACGTAGAGCCTGGTCGTAATACGGATGTTTTTCAGTACCATGGAACCTCCAGTACAATGCACAACAGCGTGATAAATGGGACCGTATTTCTCATCATTATCTTCATATCAGGTTTGTATTTTTTGTTCGTATTTGAGTTAACTTTTAGTTTGAAATTGCTAATTGGTATATTGCCATGGTTGGTTAATTAATTGGAATCGTCCTTCATTCTATGACATTAGCCAGCCTGAGCGTAGACATATTTTCACAAAAATCCAACTTAATCCACACCGGTAATACTCGGGAATCCTAATCTAAACCAACTTGAACATGACTTAACCAATAAAATTATTTGAATGTTTAAACCAAAATTTTATATGACAAATAAATAGCATTTATTATATTATTATTGTAGCGTTCATTATATTTTCTATGCTAAAGAGTTACTCACTAGAATCATAAACTTTAAATGGAAATCTTGACAATTGCCAATCGAATTTGGGAGTCAAAAAGGGAACATTGAAATACTAAAATTCATTATAAATTAACTGAAATTTATTCGAAAACTTTAAACAAATATTCATCTACAGTATTGCAGTCTGTAATTTAAATAAATCGCTTTGCATCATAATATCACGCTGTGTTTCCTTAATGGGAAACTAAATTATACAGTAAGACGCAAGTTAATTTCTTTTCCATAATATAACCTAATTATATGAGTATTTGATTTATACAAACGTAATTATATCATGTCGGCATAACTTAGCATAATTGTATAGTGAACATTGCTATTAAATGCATCAATCTAATGAAATGGGTATTTCGTAGCTATTAAAATGGTTAATAACCGTTCTTTCGACAGACAAGCTTTTCGGATTTAAAGTAATAAAACGAAACATATAAATTACACGCTTGAATATTAATTTATAAAATATTTAAAAGAGTTAGGCTTTCTCAAACATAACAAACTCTGAACGCTGATTGATTAAGTTGGTTTAGTAATTCGCAAAATACAAATCCAATAATCCCGTATTTGTGAACCTATGAACAACATATCACCAATTTGCTGCCTCCCATGACGAAAATGTGATATATTTTGAAATTAAAACCACTTATTTTTTGTTTACTTGTTTTCAGCTCAATTTCAAGCAACAACGTCAGATGCTTCAGGCGATATGGGAAGTGGAATGCCTATTACAAATTCAACTGAAATATACGAAGGATACAGCGGGTCACCATCGATATCAATTAAACCATGTTTCTGCAACGTGACATTTTCCAGCAACGAATCATGCGTGGTTTCTCTGACGAAATTCAAGCAAAATGACATGTAAGAACCGTTTAATCACAATATAAACCAAACATGGCCCAAATGTTTTTTTAAAAGCTGGATTCCATCAACATTTAGCCTGTTTCAAACCCTATCTTGCCCATTATTGTTACTCAAATCATAATTTACAGAAGTGTGAGGAAATTTTTGCAATCAAATGTCAATCTTTTTCACGATATTTATATTTATCTTAATTGGTATTCCGAATGTTTGACTTATCACCATGTTATCGCCCCTTGTTAGTTGGGTAACGTTTTTTACGTTATAAAAATGATATATTGCATTGAAAAACTATCTAGAAATAGCATTCGTCTTCGTCAGTGAAATTTAAACTGCGAGAACCATAACCTGGGTACCTCATTCCTCACCAGGGAGTAATAAATTACGTGTGGACAATCAATACTTTGGCCTTTATGTGAAATGACTGATGTGCCTTCAAATTGGCTGCCTTCTTCAGAACTTATTCAGACTGACATAATAGTAGAAACTGTGAGAATTGAAAAATGAAAATATTCACATTCATGCAATGCGTAAACGAGAGTTGGGCAATTACTTCGGTAAAAAAAGATCGGATTTCTGCGAAACTCAAGACTAAAAACTTGTACGAAATTTCAAATAAAGATTCCTACTTATGATTTATTAATGTCACAGGAACCGTTGTAAAAACGATGTCAGTTCTTGCTTCCATAAGTTCGCGCCTTTCAAGAACGATTTGATCCTTCTTCGAAAAAGCATGCATAATTTAAAAATTGCTTTAAGAAGGATCGCCAACAATTCTTTTTCCGTATGCCTAACATAGGAATGAAAACCATACTTATCAATTGAGCTGGTTCATACACAGTCCACGCTTATACAATGTATATATTTTAATGTACAAAGTCACAAATATACTAAATAAGGTATTTTGATAACTCACACACAAAGTTGACGTTATATTAATAGTAAATAATATTGTTAAATCAGCAACCTCGATAATGATGGTAGATAAATAATTAATGAACACGTTCTTTTGAAATGAAAGTTTTTGCTTCATAAAATGTATTTGACCTTGACAGAGGAACATTTTAAAGAACCATTGTTTTCAAAACAGGCCGACGTAGAAAATATCGAATTTTTAGAGACGTTTTTTTCTTCTTGTAGAAATCTTACTTTCAGCACATTCATCGCATCACCCGCGCAAATTGAATCGGAACGACATTTGTCAGTTTGATTTTTTCTTGGATCTGCGGTAGTAGAATACGACAAGAATTTCTATTGAGCATGGCTTAACAATTTCTGCATATGCCATTCTCGACCTCCATCTGACTACGTCAGCCAAGAATTACATCAATCCGGCATCACGATGACGTAGTAGGGCTTGCAAATACTAGTGATAGATACTATACTACACCAGACCCGATATTTCCAAGCTGATTCAAATATGGAATCAATTTTTATTTTTATTTCTTTTGGGCCTACACGAACTACTTTGATCGTGCCTACTATTCATCTGAAAACAATTTCCAGTTACGAGCCAAGAGTACAATGAACAAACCCATACACATACGTTTGACCTATTCTTGAAATGCGTCCAATAGCCAGAGACAAATCATGTTTTTTGTTGTCTGCTGTCTTGCAAGCTGCTGCACAAATCGGTTGGACGATACGTCCTAATTGGAATTCATTCAAAAATCGATGATAAATTTCATGAAATTGTCAATCAGTGCCGAAAAATTGTCCAAACTGTCAAAATTATGTATTAATTATATAATGGCGGTGTACTTGAAAATTATAAATTATTTCATGTTAAGATACTTCACTTGTAAAATACAATGCGTATAAAAATAAAACATAATCAATACCTTTTTGTAAGCTGGTGACAGGCTGCGAAAACAGTACAATACACCTGGTACTTGGTTATAACTCGTTCATTGATTCTTGGTTCTTATTCAGAACCTTTAGTAACAAAGTTGAAGGATCAATCCATTTTTTAAACTTCATATTTCTTCTTATTTAAAGTTACTTATACTTCTATGCCGAGGCACAGACTTTCAAAAACAAAGCATATCTAGCATGGCAATGGTACTTGATTTTAACTTGTGTAGGTGGGTAAGTCAAGGTTGTCCACTCAGAATGCTTTTGTATAATATTTTTTAAACACCGGACTTATCGGTGAAACTCTCTAATTTTTAATAATTATTTATTTTATCCCTCATAGATGCTCAAATTGGACGGTGCAAATAGAAATACAAACGCGGAAAGTCGGATCCAACCTAACAGAAATCGAAGAGCAACTTGAAACCCCAAACGAAAAAAATTGCACCGTCAACACAGATGCTATATTTGTCACTGTTATTGGTAAATTCATCAATTGTGCGAGATAAAAACTTTTTTATTCATATTGGTATATTTTAAAAGGTAGTATTGAAAATCTTTTAAACTGAGAAATGTGTTGGATTGAATACCGAGATACAATATTCACTTTCGACTGGTACTGACGTATATGTGAAGGCCGTGTGAAATGGGTTAAATTATTTAAAGCATCACTTGGCAAATCGGGTTTGCATATCCCATTGTACGTACTCAAATTAGAACGTCAAGATTTCTGTAGTATGCATCGTCGTATAAATCATAAATAATCAATGGTTTGTTTTCATCTATTATGCATATTTGTCGTTTTAAAAGTAAGTAAACAAGCAGCAAAATGTCCGTAATCTGATTGAAGACCACAAAGAAGGCACTATTGTTCGACTGTAAAGCCAGCTTTTAGTCAGCCATAACTTGTCGTAACGACTGAAAAATTAAAACAAACATGGTGTCACACCGGTTTATACTCAGTCTATTGGTTTTTCAGTGTCGGTTTTATAAACAAATGAGTCAAAAAAGTCTAAGTCTTTGATATATATCCTTCTGTCTAAACAATGAACCCCACTCTACGTGGTTCAACAGTAATGGCCCCGTTTCACGTGGACTAAGCTGGTAACTTATTAAAAAATCATGTTCAGGCGGAAGGAACGCAATCTCATTTACTACATTCAAATCTATGACTTATATTTTGTTTTTTTATTTCAGTAAATACCTCGATATCTTTGATACAGTCGATACCAGATCATGAATTAGAATATTCCGGTTCTTCCAGTGATGATTTGTTCAGGTTTCCGACCTTAGATCGATGTGTTATTCAATCTGATGAACACAATAAGGTCTATATCATTCACATTTTTATTTCTATAAATATATGTAAATAAAACGTGGTGTAGTATTTCCCTATTTGTTTAAATATGAATGATGGTACTCAAAATTGAATGACTGTGTTGAAACGTTAAAATAAGATCTTAAAAGGCTTTTAGTTTTCTTTCTTTTGTTTGTATATCTAACTGAAATTATTTATGAGGCTTTGCGCTATATCCAAATTTAATTGATGAATGACCTCACTTATGGTTATATTCTGGTGTTGAAATTTTGGACACTTTGGACGACTAGAATAAATACTTAAATGTCCCCATATCGGTTACGGCAAATATCACCACGTTTATGAATGGAATAAAAAAAAACGCAAAAGAAAAAATGGGGTATACTATCGTGCATTTTCTTATTGGTAAGTCCAATAGTGAATAGAGCGAAACTTAAATTCAATTTGAACTAATTTTACAGAATTCAATATTTAATTTGAGAGAAGAATTACTTCCAACACTTCAGGATGCGATTGATTGTGCATTTAACCGTTCAAAGCGTGCAATTCCAATATGGATCAACAGATATAAGCCTAAAATAACGGTAGAGAGGCTGCAGCCGGCACATTCTAAAGAGTACATGCTTCTTTTTATACTTAACTTTGGACTTGTTCTCATTCTGATGAAAGCAATTATATGCTTTCGGGATTTGATCGAACGGCGAATGACGAGAAAAACCAAACCCCCTTCAAGATCGTCATCCAACGACAACTTGTCTGCTTTTGTATGAATCAAAAAGACCGTTCGTTTACAATTATAACAAAAGAGAGAACAACGCCATAATGGGTGATAGGATATAAATCCACATTTTTAAATTATTTACAAAAAATTGAATGGCCGGTATAGATAAGTCTTGTTCTCTGCAAGTTTTGCAACATAGCGAAACACCTAACATTTGTGGGCTATATGTTTTTTCCCACCTCGCTATCATATCTCAGTCAGTTTAGCATACATAGAAACTACGTTTGGTTCGGTATAACCAATTTTAAATCCTGATTCAAGTTGTGGCTCTAAGCGGGTTGTTTGGGTTGAGTGTTTGGGTTTTTTCTGTTTATTTTGTTGATATTTTATAAAAAATCGTTGCTTACTTTTATATAGAAAATAGTTACTTACAGCAAATATGACTAGTGCAACTCAATTCATTAAATTCATATTTCAAGTTTACCAAGCAATTTCAATTTTAAATTTTTAGTTTTTGGTGAGATTGCGAGCACCAGTCGAGTCATCCCCGAACACTTTTTATTTTTCATCAGTATTATAGTCACATCGTAACCGATTTACAAGATTCATGAATACATTGAAACGAATGTTTTTGAGCCTTTTTATAATAATAACTCATTATATGTCTTTGTTTAGTGTTACTATTATTTGTTTGATATAAAAGCTTTTAATACAAAATCGTATGTTTACTTGAATCAATAGGTGGAATAGTGATAAATAATCTGATTAGTGCAAAAAAAATAGCGAAGTTATAATATATAGTATTGCAAAATGCAATATTGACTTGTGTTGCGTCTAAGAAACAAATGTAAATTAAAACCGTCGCAATGCAGCTGTGGTCTTCGTTCGATTTTGAACGATTCCATATTTAGATGAAAAACAAGAGAAGAATGCTCAAATATATGGAAACGAAGGCCAAAACAAAATTATTTACCCACAATTCCCGTTAAAATCATGAACGAAGCTGGAACTGTGGAACAGCTACCGTACATGCAACCGGGAACTGTCCTAGCTTCCCCAGATCTCGTGGGGATAATGGTTCATGCGCCCAGTTTTAACGTAAATCAAAATACCGAATGATTCGAGTCAAACTGTATTAAATAGTATCAAATCTGTTACAGTACCGGTAGTGTTACCAGCACCTTATCATAAAAAATCTCGACTCCACTGAGCACTAGATCGCTGAATGCGATTGCAAAACCGCCACACGGCCCGCAATTTTTTTTATTTCAGTGACGTCATTATACAAAAGTATAAAGTGGAAAACGAATCCCATGTGCTCACAGAAATTTTTGAAATAAATTGAAGTAATAGCGTAGTAGTAATAATAATAATCTTCAACCACTGAAAATTTGAAACCAATTGGTCCAGTAGTTGAAGAGAAAAACGACTTTTTTCAGAACAACAACAACAACAAAAAGAATAAGCTTACCACAGCAACATAATAGCAAAACGATCCATAGGTTCACTTCGTGTTCAACCATAAGATATAACATCGATTCAGAGTAGGCTACTAGCAGCGACGGAGTTCATTACTCACGTTTAGACGCACGCTGGCTTTGTCCTCAGATAAATGAAAGGTCGATCAACGTAACGCACGTTTCTACGCATGATCTTAGGCGATTGATTACATTAATTTAGGAATGGAATATTGTATCTTAACGAAATGATACACTACGATTGTGATAAAAACGGGTAACACATAGGTCAACACAAACTTGGTAAATCTTAAATGACTCCTTTAGCTTAACAAGTATGAAATTCCAGTCGATTCTGGTAGGAAACGGTTGCTGTTTTTCCGGTCGTGTTGTACAGCATAATATTTGGGGTAATTTAACTAACTTCACTTAACAGTTGAAGGTGTTTTAACTCGAAACTATTCTAATTTGACTCGGGAATTAAAATTAGAACTAAACTTGAGTATTGGGATGTGGCAATTATACGACCTATTGTTCCGAGTACAGTGTCATGCCCTCGGTACAACAAATCAAGTTTATAAATGACCACTAGTTCGTAGAGGAATTGATAAGCCAAGTGACAATAAAACTACGACTACTATGCGTAAGTTGTGTCTGCTGTCAGCCTGTTTTGAACTGTTCACTCTGTATTCGAGAATATTTACGATATCAATATATGTCTTCGGAAACGGTGTATGCAGTGTCTTTGTCAGATCAAGAAATGGACATTTTTTGTGTGAATGTAGGCAAAAATATGTTGCATGTAGTTGCTTGTATGCTTGCTCGACTGCGGTTGTTGTATTACTACATGCAACCGCAGTCGAGCAAGCATACAAGCAACTACATGCAACATATTTTTGCCGACATTCACACAAAACTGCAAACGTATTCTATCCTTTTCCTTGCGATGGTGTATTCGGGTGCTTTTAATGAACGGTTGCTGTAGCAAGAATGAAGATGAATATTGTAGGATGAGTGACTCACGATTTTTGCTACACACCAACACTGCCGTTTCTGGACGATGCCAAAAATACATTTGTGTTGTTATTAGTGATAGAGGTATTTGGTAAAACACTAAATTACAGGTGAAATTCGAAAAACTACGAATACTAATTAACGAACTTCCATTCTATACTCGTAATGAGGTAAATGGAATCATAGAATTTTGAAAATTTTCAATTTGGACTGAACAAAACCTAATTAAATAAAAAGCCTGATTACGTGTTCACTCATCGATGTGCGTACGTGACTTCGAGTCGACCGTGGAGCGATGAAATATATAATTTTTCATTAGTGAATATTTTTAATTATCAATATAAACATACTAATGGAACAATATTGATAATTACCATAATTTACAATCTCCACATTAAACATTTGGATTGGTAAATGATAATTATAATTGATCTGATAATTGAGAAGACTAACTAACAACAAATGCAACTTCTCTAAAAATACGTAATATTAATTACTTATTTGTATTTTTTGTGTAATTGCTTATACCACATTCAATGCTCAAACTATAAAATTCATATTTCTTGTTAAGATTCGGAAACAGCTGAGAAAAGGAAGGAATATGACAATAATCGAACTCACTTATGACATCTAGTGACTAATTTAAGTTTAATATGCTGCAAGATTTGTTTCTAAACATCACGTCGACAAGTCTTAAACTTTCCCCTTTGAGTTATATAATATAAAATTGTCTATGCAATTTTATTTTGACAATCACAACTAAGTAGAGATACAATATATGCAAATACATTTTCTCATTAAATAGGAACAAACAACAGGCAATATCGAATTGACTATAATGTAATGACCCGGTGTGATACAATCTTAATTTTCGAAACAAATTTAACAATACTATACAATAATACAATAAACAGAAATATAAAATAAAAAGTTTGTAAAACTATAGAATTCAAAGGGATATAAGGTTCATAAAGATTCACTAGTTTTTGTCAGTTTTGAAAACTTTGGAAGCCAGAAATTCATTTTTGCATATAAAATGTTGATTAAATCAAAACAAATCATTACATATATTATGTTGTCGTAACAAACTAAATATAATCTAGCTTGCATTGATCAAATCTACAAGAGATATATATTATATATACTAGAACAAAATAAGATAGTAAACCTTTACCTATAGTAACCAAGTAAACCAGGAATGTAAGTGATCACCTTCTACGCAATAAACAGTCCTAATTTGAATTGTTAGGGTAAAAATATTGCACGTTCTGAAAATATCAAGACAATGTAATATAATTTACATTATGTTTCATGAAATGTTTATGACAAATATGTCAATTTGATATTAACTGATTTATAATCAAACTCTTTTGAATCCGTAAGCATATGTTTCAGGGAAATCAAACTGATTGTATTTTCCGTTCACAAACTCTTTGAAATGAACGAAACCTCCATTCTGTTTGTCAAGGTTACCGATACATGGAAATCCTGATCCTGCAATGAAACAACAAAAAATAATTCTTCATTAAATTAAAAACCAAATTTCAAACATACATGAAATTTCCCACCGCTGGTTGGGAATGTGGTATCTGGCTTGTATTCTATTTACAATCTTCTATGTTATTCACGGATTTGATTTAGCCAATGTGCTCATCATAAGAATTGATCAATAGCTTGAACAAAATGACCAACATGTGATTAACACAAAAATGAAACTAAAAAAATAGAGGTCCATCCTCCCCGACAGGGTTGTTATATGGTGCAAAGTTTACAGTTTGATATATAGAAAAGCCTACCCATTAACAGCAACTGGAAGACAGTCTCTGAAATATAACTTAGTCCTGCGCTTAGAGCTTGCGGAGGAGATTGTGAATTTCTCATGATTAAAATTCCATTTTCATTAACAGATATTGTTTGATTTTCCAAATTGTAATAAGAGAAGAATCCTACGTATTTCTCTGGATTTGGAGCTGGCATGATTTTTTGTTGCATCCTGTAAATAATGAAATATCATTTTATAATTATGCAATTATTCGACGAGTCGAAATCACTAATTGTGGATTTCCTCGCCATAGGCTTGTTTGATTATATCCGTAACATTAGCTAACGAGTACGATATCAATGGTGACGTAACAATTGAACCTCTAAGACCGTTTTTACTCAGAAATGGTAGTAAACATTAGCTCGTTTTCGTGGTTTTGCGAGCTTTTTTGTTTGCGAAATTTAGGTATAAATCATGTTTATGGAGTTAGGGGTCGAAGAAACATATATTACATTGACATTGACAAACTTTCGACCGAAAAATAAATCTATGTCACGCTTAAACTTACTTTCTGAGAGTATCTCGGAATAGAGGAATAGCTTTATCCAATACAATTCTGGCAGTATCTTCACTTGAAAATCCAGCCCTCAGAATATTAAACGACAATTTCAAATCAGGAATCATAGCCATGTCTGATGTGTAACCTTCAAGGGCACCGTTTTTTGATACAACCTGTATGGTTTGAAAATATTAATGTTTTTCTTGATCACTCACGAAAAGTTTGAAGCAAAAGCTTCTAATTGAACAAATACACGATGAAGGCGTGTTCGCCATTTGTGAAAACCAGTAAATTTTGGAGTGAAATATGGGTCCCATAGAACCTAGAAAAATCTGAAAAATACAATAGCCCTCAAACCCTTTCAATCACCAGTACTGTAAATTCAAAATCGATCTATCCGATAGTTTGCCGAGACGATGAACAATCAAAAAATGTATTTGGCAACTTGATCCATACATCTACTTCGAGTTCAAAATATTCATTTTTGTAGCATCAGTGTTATACGATACTTACCAAATAGTCGTGTAATTTATTCATTTCCCATGGACTTCCTGTCATATTTACTAGGTAATCATGTCTACATGTTTTTCTAGGACGAAGTATTTCAGTCAACGTTTCATGTTTCAGAACTGTTTTTGATGTCTCCATGAATGACATTGATAATTTCGCCAAGTCAGCTACAAATGATAAGATGCATCATGATATATTGTTACATGATATCAAAAATTCGATTCAGGTTTGGCTATATTAGAAAGCTCCTAATTTTGGACTCGTACATTCTATGATTCTAAGTTTGATTCTTCTAAGTATGGAAATATTCGTGTGCAAACAATGTCAAATAAAGCTGTAGGAAACATTGAATTTTTTTGTTCTGAAAAAAATACGAAACATTGAGAATTTTCCACAAATATCTGGTCATGCATTAAAAATTGAAATAGACTTTACATCTTTTCCTTATATATATATATATATATATATATATATATATACCAACCAATAGTTGAGTAATAATTTCCAGCAGGTGAATACCACAGCAGTTCATATACCGGCGCTTGTACTCCACTTGGTAAATATCCTGCCGCCATTTTCGCTCTCACGTCCGTTGTGTATGTGAAGCCTGAATAGAAGAATTTCATATTACACAATTGGATCAAAATATCGAATGAATAATATAGGTCCAAACGAAAAATATTCTATGTCATGCAATAAAAATGCTGATGTTTACAACAGTTCCGGTAAAGATCTCTGTTAATCAACACGGTTTCTGGCTTGGTAGACAGTCAAAAACTATGACAATAACCTCCAACTTCAAAAAGCCTGAAATTATTTAAAATAGCTCATAACAACAACAAAACTTCACACATACAAAAACATTAAAATTTAAAACGAAATGCAAATATTTTTGCTCAAGAATCTAGTTTTACTGGTTCACATTTTGAAATTAATTTTGTCAAAATTATACATACCTGTGTTCGTTAAATCCAATTTATCAGCAATATTCTGTTTCGCCCAATTTTCAAAATTTCCATCAGTTGTGAAATTTCTCGCTAATATGTGTCCAAGTAACGCGTAGGCAAGATTGCTAAAGCAAACACAATGAGTTGATAACTCGTCTAAAGCTGATATCGATTGAATTAAAGTTAAATGTTTATTTAAATAAAAGCTGCTGAACTTACCTGTAGAAACACGTTGATCGAGGTTCGGCAACCAGAATCTGAGATTTGAGAAGTTGAAGAGCATCTTCTAATTGGCCATTAAAAAGTATTGCCGATCCATTCAGAGGATTGAAAGGCAATGAACTGAAACATAAGGTGAATAATGCATCGAATGGATAATAATTAAATGCTAGTATAGTTATAGAAATCCGGTAAATACAAAAAGAAACTATTCAAATCATATCGATGTACTTTTGGAATAATTGACTTATTTTTGACATAACTCCAAAAGAACCTACAATATCACTTATGTTCTCTGTAGAGGCGTTCTAATAATTCTAAGTAATTTAGTTGTTTGATACATGTTACCACCGGTTGATTACGGCCTCAGATAATTACGTAGTAGGAACATTTTGAATGGAATGGGTCGACATAGCATACTAAAATTTGAACGGAAATGTCTGAATCGTAACAAGATTAACCATCTTGTTCATTAAATACATCATCATTTTATCTTAAATTTTTATTTCTCACAACCCACTAATATTATTACCTTGCTAATCCTGATATCTGACTTGCAATGTCGATTAAGTTTATTTCATTCGTCGTACCCAGTGGTCTTCCAATGCTAAAATCCGGTGCATACTTTGTGACTGGATCGTATAAATCTAGTTTGCCATCTTCCCATAGTTTGAATAAAAATAATACAGGAAATATTTTGGAAATACTGGCAATTCTGAAAGAAAATGGATATTAAGATGTCTGATTATTTAGGAATTAGTCGAGATAGTCGAACAGAAAGAACTAGAATATAAATGGACATATTATAAGGTAAAAAGGGCTTTTTATGTTTGGTGTCTTCGAACACATTTCATTCCATTTATAAGACTAGGCTCATGAAACGATTTTTTTTTGTCCGTATGCCAATGAGAGTTATCAACATCTTCCGTTTTCAAATATTCAGCTGATATGATATAAAATCAGAAAAAGAATCCAAAGTAGTAGCCCTTTTCCCAACCATATTTAAAAACTATGAAAATCGAATCATTGAACGGCATCGTAAAAATTGCATTAGTTTCAGAGGGACTCCAAAATGTCTTGCCCTATTTTCCGCACGCTTGCACCTCTTGTCTCACACTTTTTCCACGCTTGCGCCACTTGTACCACATTGTCCCACTTAATTCACACTTGTTCCACAAATGGGACAAACAAGTGGGAAAAATCACGACATGCAGCATAGGTAGCACGAGTGTTGAACAAGTGTAATACATGCAAGTGGTGTCAATGGTACAAGCAGGCCAAGTGATACTAGTAAGGCATGTATGGGGATAATCGATGATAAGAAATGCGACAATTAGGACAAACATGGGTCAAGTGGACCAAAAATAATACAGATGAGGGACAAGTGTGGGACTAGCATGAAGAAAGTGTGGCAGAGTGAGGCAAGTGTGCTACAGGGGGACACGTAGGGCACACCATTTCTGAGACATCGGTTAGTTCTCACCTGTAAATAGTATTTTTGTCAGGTTTAACAGTTGTCGACTTATTCACTCGTCCATAATATCCACTCCATACTATTTTATCCAGGTAAACCAAATTTGCTGTTACAGACGGTCGTGCGTTTTCATCCACTAGTGATGCGACATGTGAATCAATCCAATCGAAAAGTTTTTTGAATTCTTCATGATTTGCGAAATCTGTAATAAAAATAAATGTTGTCCAGTTTATGAACTTTTTCACGCATTAATCACACAATTCATAAATCATGAATTCACTTTAATCATTATTAATGGTATTTTTCTTTATAAAAATACAGTATGTATAGTTCTATTTAATGCCAATCATTTTTTGTATTGAAATTCTAATATTACTATGCATAATGTTTCACAAGTGGGCGAATGCATGAGTCAGTTAGCCACATGTTTTACGACCAGCACGGGTGCAATATAACTTGTGGCTCCGTACCCTGTGCACATACATGTATAGTAGTTTTGTACATACACATAGAACAATATACGTATACAAATAATCCACTTTCTAGTACTTGCCTATTTCTTGTGGTGTCGGGTAGTACGGGCATCCTGTGTTAGTAGTTGTATTGGGGTTTGTTGGGTTATCGCCTGACGGTGTGTTAGTAATATATTGCCAAGTAAACAAGGCAGCAAATGCTACGGTTGTAATGGACAGTATTGCTGTGAATACGCTGAGGATAGCAATCTTAGACATAGTAAATAAATTACTGACTAGTTGCTGAAATATGATGCTAATCACATTAGATTTCTGCAAGGATTTTACAAGCACATATCTAAAGATATATGATCATTAAAATATGACGAATATGAAATCTTGCTAATTTTTTTGAAGTAATGTTGTTAACTGATTTTTTAATGATTACATGGCCATTGCATCCCATTAATGTAGTGAAGTTTTCTATATTATTTCTACACGTACTAAACTTTTCAAACCATCTCATTATAATCGCAATCTCTTCGAATTAAGATCATGCAATGTTTGAACCTTCTAACGAACTATATTTACTTGCTCTTCCTTGCGCTAATAAATAGCATGCTCAGGCGCGATCTACTGATGCCTGCCCGCTTATCAACACCCAAACGCTGTCTCTTTTGATGCTTCGGCAGCAATCGGGCACCACTTCAACGAATCGCTCGGTTGGGTATAAATACGCAACAGTTTTACTGCAAATACTTTAGTAGTATGTTCGCAAATAAAAAAAAAACGTATCCTAGAAAACTGTCACGCGCTCAGGCACGTGACATGGCGAATATAAAATAAATTTACATAAAAAGCGACACAAAATGTTGGTTGAATTGATAATGTGAATGCACTATCAAATTATTGCCTTTACTATGTAGGTTCATGCGCGGGATTCGATTGCGACACGCGAATATTCCTTCAAGCCATGATTAACGTTTACAAATTTCCCCACTCTGATACCAAACACTAGAAATACTACCATATCTAGTTGTCACGCGCACACGCACGTGACATGTCAAACATAAAAATGACAGAAAAACTGTTTTGCTTGAATTGATACTGTGAATTCGCTATTAAATTATCGCTTTTACTCTATAGGACTATGTGTGAGTGTATTCGATAATTCGATAAATTTACTTCAAATGGAGGTATTTTAACATTACTGTGGAAATTGGCCCAAAGTGACGTAATATATATCGAAAAATCGAGAAACCGACCGATAAGGCGGGTTTCGCCATATTATGTAAGTAATTTGATCTAATCCACATGTGATTATAGATCATATACATATTTCTTCTAGTTACATGGTGTTTTACATGTGTTTTCTCGTTATTTAAGTTGCAATAATTTGGCTGAAAAAAGTTCTGCTCAGTAAAAACAAAATTTTTCCTCCACTAAGAGGATAAATAGAAAATAGAACTTTCTTTTATCTGAGTAGAGAATAATCTAGACAAAATTCAGAATAAAATTTGCGGTCACATAAAAAAGAAACAATGATATGTAATTGTAATTTGAATTAGCCATCAACAACATTCTGCAAGAAGACGTTATTTCTCGACAGGTTCAGATTTTTCTAGAATTAGATAATGATTTCTTGTTCACGTCCTCTTCAATTGATGGACCATTTACTTTGGAACTTTCAGTCGTTATAGCTTGTTTATGTTGCCAGAGGACTTATTTATTTCAGAAATTTCTGTGAGCATGTCAGCGATCTGTTGGTCAGCCATGACGAGATTTTTTTATAAGCTGAAAATACTACCGGTACTGTAAAGAATGGATACTAAAGTTGTGGATTGTGTTTAGATTCATTTGGTATTTCGGTTCACGTTGAGACTGAACACATTACCAGCATCGTCGTCGTTTTAAAAAACATACTATATAGTTTTATATAAAGCATTACTAAGATTGCAACGTATTACCATACTTCGAAAATCGATTCAAACTGAAACATGTGGAATTCGTGTCCGGTGTGCTTTTGGTTCCAGGTGGATTTCTCAGTTTCGTTACGTTCTTTCAAATTTGACGGATACTGACAGTGATATGGGAAGTTCAAAAACTGTGGTTATTTCGTCTAACATTTCATACAATCTGATATGTTGATCTATTGAGCAAGTAAATATTCACTTTTTGTTGATATTGTGGCGAACCACTTAACTAATAATAGCCGTTATGAGTCACAATTGTTTTGTTCATGTTTTTGTCACGCATGATTACTTACGTGCTTTTCTTACGATAACTTGTCATTCTGTTTTTTGTTCGCTTGTCGTTAACATTGCTTTGTTATGGATTAAACATCAACATAATTGAAAGTCTTTTTCTTGTTAGAAAGAAGTTAGTTCGCTTCAAATTGGTGACCCCGACCTCAAAGCATACTTTTGAGAAAAGAATACGCACATAACGAAGAATATGAGTGAAGACAACAAAGTAGGCCTAACAGCGGTATCATTAAAGCTGCCGATTTTCTGGACTAAAAATCCTGCCGTTTGGTTCCACCAAGTCGAAGCGCAGTTCGCTGTTCGAAATATCACAACAGAATGAAACAAAATACACTACGTGGTTGCCGCTCTGGATGACAATACCGCTGGCCAGCATTCTTAATGTTCTCAATAACCCGCCGGAAACGAACAAGTACCAAGATCTCATAAGAGAAGCTCACTACTAAATGTTCGCTAACGGATCCTGAACGAGCTGGCGCGCCTTTGTTCAATGCCTGGACTAGGGGATGGAACGGCAACGGGAACTTATGGACAACATGCTTGCATTGTATCAGTAGTAAGACACCTGATTTCTTATTTCGCCATTTGTTCGTCAGTCATCTGCCACCAGACGTCCGGTCTCAACTTACAGACATTTTAACAACCACGGGGCGACGATTTTCGGAAAGCTGGCAAGGAAAGCAGATGATATGTTTAACTGCAAAAGGCTATAGGTG